TTTACAGAAAGCTCTTTTGTTTGTGTTATTTTTAGGCACCAGCAGCTCTGTGATAATCATGGTACATAAAACCATCCACTCAGTTACAGAGAATTTCATCATTTCTGTAAGTAAAATACTAATAGAAACACTGAGCACCAGGCTGGGTGTCTGTGCACTCCTGCTGGGTTAGTAAAGGACCATGTGTTATTACATGTGCATGCAGAAGGGTTGTGCACATTTCACTGTTGCTGTGATTCATTGCCAGCCTACTGACCCTGTGGCTCCACCTAGACCCATTGTTCCGGTTCATGGACCCAGAACATGAGACGAGAGGCCGTTCTATGCTGACACAACGTTAATGCTGGGGTGACTCGGCTAAAAAGATGACGATGCAAATACAGGAACACACTTTAATGCTGGAATTTCTCAAGAATATTATAGAGTTGCAATAAAAATGATGACCCACCAATTTTTCAGAAATACTAAATCAAATTTGAAGATGATTATTAAAATCTGAACACGTAGCTCACGTATCAACGTGCACTCTCATTTCTACTCTTTTATACTCGTTTACGTGAAAAGGAGCACCAGGGAGACTTCATATACCCGAGACCAAGTGAGAGCCTGTTTCACGTGCTGATCATTTAATCCCCTCCCAGCCTGGAAATTGAATCTTTTCCTCCCACGTGTTCTGGTTCTGGTGCAGAACTAGAACATCAGAGATTAGTTCATAATTAGGTTGCATTCATCCCCTGACCAGTGCTAGACCACAGCTTCTTGGCCAGCTCAGCCTTCACCTGTCATGTCATTAAGTTTAGTGTCACTCACAGAAAAATTAAAATAAGTAATTCTCTCTCTCTAATAGATCCCAGCATGACCTAGTAAACCGAGCACCAGTGTGTGGAGTTCTGTTGCTTAAAATGTATTTAATTGTTTTGTTTTGTATCACAATAAAATATTTCATTTCAGAAGAACCTGTTCTCAGCTAAAAGGTTCCTGGTTCAAATCCCAGCAGGTGCTCCTTGTTCTCCACAGATGTCACCTCAGGTTCCTTCCACGGTCTAACTTAACTGGTGACTCTAACCTGACCTTAGGAGTGAGTGAGTGAGTGAGTGAGTGAGTGAGTGAGTGAGTGAGTGAGTGAGTGAGTGAGTGAGTGAGTGAGTGAGTGAGTGAGTGAGTGAGTGAGTGAGTGAGTGTCTCATGCTGTCAAAAGACAGCTGAGGTGTGGGTTGTACCCCCCAGAGACCACAAAGCCATGCAGGTCTGCAGCATGTGCCTCTGCCTCCTGGGCTTCTTAAGACATGACAAGTGCTGCTTCCATCACGTGTTGTTTTAACCTGCCGCCATGTAAAAGAAGACATGACTCCATCCAAGGCTGGTGCAACACTCGACACAAGAAAACAAACTTTTTTGTTAAATATGTACATTTTTGTGTAAAGTTTTTCTCTTTTTTTTTTTTTTTTTTTTTGCATAATATGCATTGCTGCAAGCTTTTACTAAAAAAAAAAGCCGCACAGACAGATGTGAGAGTACTGATATATGATATATGGCTGAAGGAGTGAAGGCCAGCTGGACGTGTGATTTACAACAACACCAACGCTCTACGACAAGCTGATTTTTATAGACACTTGTCTTTGCTATGGTACGTGTGGGTGGCTGCTCATGGTTGCACCGCCCTATCAAACTCACTTCCTTCATCCACACAGCTGGAATGTGGCCTTGTTCTGATGGACAGACCTGTTTCTTCTCAGCAGCAAAATCTTTATGTTCACTCTTATAAATTTATTCTGAAATTACTATGATTAAAAATTCTACCTGAATATGATTTTCTCAGTGCATGTAACCCCCACGCTTTCATACTTGCAGCATATTTTTGCTGCCTTTATCTTTTCAACAAAAGCCTTTGTAAGGTCTCTGAGATTAGAGACTATTTTAGCTAACAGGAATGCAGTTATCTATATCTGTTTTACCACAAAAGTATTCTCTATAGTAGCTGCTCTGCAGATGTAGATGAAAATTGTGAGCTTCATTTGTCTTTAGTGTAAGCGTTTCACATAATTAACCCCCTAAAGAGCCTGTCATCAGGATATGCATGCTAATAAATTTGACTCAGGGTTAGTGTCACCTCACAACGAGAAGGTCTCCGGTTCCGATAGCAGCTGTGGAACGTGTACACTCCCTGTGAATGCGAATTTTCTCAACGAGAGCTTCCAAAAACAGGGTTTTGGGGGGGGGGGCTTTAAAGGTTCCTTTCCCAGCAGGAATTTGCAAATGTGCCTTCTAGAGAATGCAGCTCTCATTAATACACCTGATCCACCTGACATGGCCCATTCAGCATGTCTGCTTTGAAAAGAGGCTCAAACCATAAATCTTCTGAAACATTTGCAAGGGTTTTCAAGTCCTCCGAGTGGGTCTTGTGGCCTTGTTTTTGTCTCATTGGAATTTTGAAGAAGTCTGAAAATTTCCCATGGCATGATTTCCTCTCCAAATGGTCACAGGGGTGTTGGCAGGCATCTGGATCCCTGTGAGAGGAACCTGAGACTATTTTGGGCAGGGTTGGCAAACAAATTTTGTAAAAATAGAACAGATTACCAACATGACACCAAATTAGAAACATTTAAGGTTAAATTGCAAAATCAATCTAATTAAGTTACAATAGAAAATTTACCATACCATCTCACTAACTTGTGTCTCCAAGTCACCAAAAAAATGGACTAATGATCAAATTAAGTGGTTGTTTGACTAAAATCAATATTTTATTGTCTCAAGCTTCCCAAACAGAAGCATAAAGGTGCAGTTTCTCCAATGACCACTTGGGGCAACCCCCTACAGCAGAGAAAGACCCATAAAAGCACCTAATAAACACAGGATAATAAGTCACCAGGACTCTCATGTGACAAAATGCAAACGAAAAGCATCACACAGCCATATAAATGGTGCCATGTTACATAATTAGTAAGTATAGTCAACATAAGGCCAAATCAGCCAAACACAGAGCAGTGAAATCTTTGAACACTCCCATGTTACTTGGAAACAAGTGGAGTTCTGCTGAGGCCAACCTTGCAGTTTTCATTTGTTGTATTTTTCCTAAAGTAGATTAAATAAATCCTCTCCAATAGCAAAATTAATGAATTTTGCTGTCTACTTGCAACACAAGAGGTTCTTAAATCCAGCATGTTTTTATTCAAATAGATCGAACTCTAAACAAAAAAAATTTAACTAAAAGATTTAACAACAAGTTAAAGAGCAAGTCACCCCCAAATAAACTTTTTTTTGCTGATAAACTAAATAAACGAGTGTCTAACCGTGCTGCAGACGCGTGTGGTCAATAATTTGGCACTTCAGTGCATCTTAGTTAAAATTTAAATATTCAGCCTAAAACTGTCAGTGTTGTGCCGTTGTCAGGTAAAAACTATGCGCTGTAGTTTAATTTAAATCTGCCATTGCTATTGGCTAAGAAGTATGCTATGATGTAAACTGGTACATTATGATGTCGCAATGCTGTCGTGAGCCTGAGTGTGTGTGTATTTGTTAGCGGCTCCGCCCTCTCGGTCTGCCAGGCAACAGCATTTGTTGCATTTTCAAACAGGAAGTGGGAGTGGAGTTAGACTCTGGTAGGGGTTGACTTGCACTTTAAAGAGCAAGTCACCTCCTACCAGATTCTTACTCAACTCCCACTTCCTGTTTGAAAATGCAACAAATGCTGTTGCCTAGCAGACCGAGAGGGCGGAGCCGCTAACAAATTCACACACACACACACAGGCTCACAATGACATTGTGACATCATAATGTACCAGCTAACGTTCTAGGATACCTCTTAGCCAATAGCAATGACAGATTTCAATTCAAATGCAGTGCAGAGTTTTTACCTGACAACGGCACAACACTGACAGTTTTAGGCAGAAATTAAAAATTTTAACCAAAATGCACTAAAGTGCTAAACTATTGACCACACGCGTCTGCAGCATGGTTAGACACACGTTTATATAGTTTATCAGCAAAAAAGTTGATTTGAGGGTGACTTGCTCTTTAAATCAACAGAAACTTCTTGAATAAAAAGCTTGTTTAAGGGTGTGGTAGTTTTGGTCACTGTGATTTTATCTCAGCTGGAAAAGGCTGTTCTGCACACGCGCATAAAACATGCCAAGTTTTGTATAGTGCTTCTAGAGCACATGATGATTTATATGTTAACATCTTATCTCAGAATGATGTCTGTCAACACCAGCGGTGGACATGCCGCATGGTCTGCTCAGCTGTGGGTTTTCGTTTAATGCTGTCCTATTTTCAGTCTGAATTACGTCGACAGTCCACTTGAGTCTTAAATGTTAGGATCTGTGACAAAACCTGTGAACAAATGGATAGAGCTGTTTTGGCAATCCACGGTTAAACCCTCCCGCGACCACTTCTAGCTCAGTTATCTGATGACATGAAAGTTTGGTCGCTGTAAACACGTGGACTCTTTCCCCTCTAAAAGGTTTTCCTCTGTTGGACATGAACACGGCGCTAGGGTCCTGTATCCCTGGTGTGAGGTGCACCTTTCACACTCGTAAGACTGAGAAAGATGAATAACAACAAAAACTGAAATCTGAAACCCATTGCATCTGATGCATGCTCTCCACCAGCATGTCTTCCACTGATGCTGATCTCATGAGCACTACATGGGAAAAGACTGTAAAACTAAATTAAACTAATATAAACAATGTAGAATAGTTTTGTGTGTGTGTGATCGTATTTAGAAAACAACTTGAGATATGAAATGTAAAAAGATACTTTATACTAAATTAAAGTAATAACGCGTGTATTATAAGCATTAAACGTGTCTGTTATTGTGTTGTTTTGCTGTTCTCCCATCCCCCTCTCTGTTTTCTCTCCTTCCTCTTTGTCTGCTTGACGAGCTTCATCCTCTCTTGGGTGCTTAGTCTCCTCCCAGCGACAGCCGCGGCTCTGTGATAGGTTGGTTTGGTCTGGGGGCGGGGCTTGTCCTCTCTCGCTGCTGTTTTTCTAGCTCAAGGATCTGATCCGTCGTCAGTTTCTGTAACAGCGCAGCGACGTGAAAGACATCAGTGTGTGTCGGTTTAAAACGCTCTGGCAGCTATAACAGCAGTCCACGGAACGTCAATTTCAACGTAAACAATAACAGTGAATATACAGCAGCGGTGGAGGTTTTTATTCCCCCTCCAGTTACAAAAAGGAACGGAAATCGTCGCTGGTTTCAGGTTTTTTTTCCTCTTCGGCTTTTTTGTTTTTCACTGCTTCGGTCAAACAGGTGAGCAACAGCGCCCCCCTGTGAGACGACGGGGAACGGCTTGAGAATAGGGAGCCTGAGAAGAAGCACCGACATCCTCCCTTGCGACGTGGGTTCCCACAGCTCAGCTGTCCGATGCGGAGTGAGGATGAGCCCCGCTCTGGAAGCCCTCATGCAGGCGGACGGGACTCCTTACTCGGGGAAAGGGGTGATGCTTGAGCCCTTCGTGCACCAGGTGGGGGGCCACTCCTGCGTGCTGCGCTTTGGGGAACAGACTATATGCAAGCCCCTCATCCCCCGAGAGCACCAGTTCTACAAGAGCCTGCCTCCGGAGATGAGGAAGTTCACCCCGCAGTTTAAAGGTAAAATTTCACATTTAGACGGTCCGGTTGGAGAACATAGCGTTCGCGTTTTGGACATGGTTGCAGTCCATTAAGTGGCCACATAATGTGCGCAGTATCAATCAAATTGGAGATGTTGGCAGGCACAGCTTGGTGGGGTGAGTTTCAAATAGCACCATCTCCCAGCGAGCCAGGAGGATGTGTAGCCGGAGGGGTCTCTGGGGGGTCTCGGATGGCTTTTAAAGCAACTACTACAGTTTCAGGATGACACACACACGAGAGAGAGAAGGAATGTCTGGGACATTACCTGGAGTTCAGAGTAACCCACAAGTAATCTGAGCAGACTTTCAGGTCTGGTTTCAGACCTTACCTTTCATGCATGCACATTTTGCACGCGCGCACGCACACACACAGGTTTCTAACCGGAGCTTAGTGTTTCCTGGTTGCGTTCAGGCCCGCTGGGCTCACATTCTCGCTCGCAGACAATGACACCACATGCATGCGAAGGCAGACATCTCTGGCCACCTGACCCCCAGGTTATGCAAGAGCAGACTATTAAAAGGCCCTGAATGGGGCGTGGGATTTGGGTAGTTCACTTCTGGGTGCTGGGCAATCATCATACCCACCCTGAAGTGTTTTGGGTTTATAAATATTTATTAAATGTGAGATTTAATATGATTTCTAAGCCTTTGTGTGTGTGGGAGGTGTTGAACATCAGGGTAAGCCACGTTAGATGACAGTGTCATAAAAATCTACAACTCCATCGGAGTTCTTTGCTGAAGGTTGTAAAACAATAAACCGTTATCGATAAGGCTCGTGTCTGAAAGTGACGCACAAGTTCCCACACTCTCAAGGTATGATGACGCTGCAGGTCCGGGTGGACAGGACAGGCTGGTCCTCAGGACAAGTTTCGGAGGCGGGGCCTCCAGCAAGATGAGAATGGTGACGTCAGACGGACGCATCGGTCAAAATACACTGGATCCTCATTTAGAAATAAAAACACACACATCAGATCCATCTGCGCTTTGCTGCCCTCCCCACGCGCAAACGTACATCTCTGGTTTAATCATCCGTGTTATTCCAGCTGCAGCGTTTATTCTCAGTGTGTGCCCCCCCAGCATGGGGATCTGCAGAGCGGGCCTTGTAGGGAATGGTATTGGGGGGGTGGATTGGTTGGATGCCTGTTTGTTGGCCGTGTCACAAAATCTGTTGCAGTCATGTGGCAAATTATATTTAATAATCATAAATAACATCAGAAAGTCCTCGCTGGATAAATGTTGGACCTGATAACGACTCAGTTCTGTTTTCAGAGTTCTGTCATTTATTATCTAATAGTAGGAAAAAAATAATGTTGGACTTTCCACATTTGTAGCTCCTTGGTTTACTCTATGATGTTGCCTTTTTATTTAATAATCTAGATTATGAGCTACAAGAATAAACAGCTGGGTTTTTACACATCTACATGTCTTGGGATTCTGAACTATCCTTGTTTGATGTTTTCAGTCGTGTTTATTGACCATGAAGTCGTATTTTGTTTTGTTTCTGCAAACAGGAACATCTGACTAACATGTCTCCTCTTCTCCTAGGAGTTGTGTCTGTCAGTTTTGAAGAAGATGAGGAAGGGAACTTGTGCCTCATCGCCTACCCGCTTCACAGTGAGTCAGCGGACTTGGGAAACAAAGACCCCTCAGCAGACTGTGAGCCTAAGACCAAAATGCTAAAGTGGAGCAACAAGAAGCAGTCCGCCTTGCTCCTGGAGAAAGACAAGTACAGCAAAGACAGAGCTCGGAACAGCCGGAAAGAAGACAAGCTCGTCAGGTGAGGATGATTGCATTCAGGCAGATTTATGCCTTTTTAAAAACTTGTGTCTTTGTGGTCGTGTCGAGCTAAAGCTAATGCGTTTCCGCTCTCGTCACCTTGCAGTTATAATCGTGATGAGGTGCAGCAGGCAGAAGTTCTGTACTTGAGCCTGGAGAAAGGAAACGTGGTGTCACAGATCAAACACAACCCCTGGAGTCTGAAGTGTCATCAGCAGCACCTACAGAGGATGAAGGACAACGCAAAGCACCGCAACCAATACAGTATCCTTTCACTGGTGCTGTCTGTGACGTAGAGAGGTGCTACTGGGTAGGTCAGCGTTGGTTGTCTTGTTCTCTCGTGTGATCCTTGACCCAACCGCTCACAGAGTTTATCCTCCTGGAGAACCTGACATGGCGCTACAACGTACCGTGTGTGTTGGACTTGAAGATGGGAACCCGCCAACATGGCGACGATGCTTCAGAGGAGAAGAAGGCCAATCAAATTCGCAAGTGTCAACAGAGCACGTCTGCTTCTATCGGGGTGCGGCTGTGTGGCATGCAGGTACGTCTTTTTATTTTTGTTTAGGGTTTGCTTTTGTTCTTCTTCTCTCTTACACTGATGTTTGTCTCTCGCAGGTGTATCAGTCCGACTCTGGCCAGCTGATGTACATGAATAAGTACCACGGGCGTAAGCTAACGCTTGCGGGCTTCAAAGAGGCGCTCTACCAGTTTTTTCACAACGGGCGGCGCCTTCGCCATGAGCTGCTGTCCCCGGTGCTGCGCAGGCTCCGGGAAATGCAAGCCGCCCTGGAGGCCTGCGAGTCCTACCGCTTCTACTCCAGCTCTCTGCTCATCATCTACGACGGCGATCCCCCCAGGGCCCCCTCCAGACCCAGGCACCGAGGAGGGGAAGAAGGAGATGAGGATGATCCATCCGATGAAGAGGAGGAGGAAGGGGCATTTGGTTTTCCTCGTCCGTCTTCAACAGGCAGTGCCGCCGGAGAGGCCAGCAGCCCTGAGGTGGACGTGCGCATGATTGACTTTGCTCACACCACCTGCAGACACTACGGGGAGGACAGCGTAGTGCACGAAGGCCAGGACAGCGGCTTCATCTTCGGTCTCCAGAATCTGATCACCATCATCTCCCAGCTGGAGGACCACAGCACTGACTGAAGCTGCACCGGAGCTTTCCTGGTCTAGATTTCCAGCATGGGAGTTAAAACCCCGCCATAACCCCACGGTGCTTCTCGCCCACATGGGGGTCTGCTTGGTGGAAACCCCAGACACCTCCTGGACGGGGAGGGGAGAAGAGTCTGCGTGGTTGATCCTGCACTCTCGCTTACCTGCCGAAGGGAAAGGGCTGCTTGTGCCCTCCCTTGCACTTTTCTCTTTTTGAGACTGAGACTTGTTTTTGTTTTCCATTGAAGGAGCGGCGTTGCATGAGACGGGCGTCTTACAACAAACACGGGGTCTCCTGTGGGACTCCCCTCCTCCGGTGCAGACGAGCAGCTTAAGTTCTCTCTGAGAGAGAAGGAGCCAGGCCGAGCCTTTTGAAGCTGTACTTAGGAGGCCGTCGTGGTGCTTTACTTGTGATAAAAACCGTTTTTTATGAACTATCTGTCCCCAAAAGCACAGAGCTAACAGTGGGGAGGTTTAGCTAGTTAGCCGAACAAGCTGACCCTGGCTGGCTGGATCAGCAGCCTTGTAGCAGTTAGGACATTTCGTGTTTATGTTGACGTCTTGTACGAGACGGTCGGTGTGTCCGCCAGGCACTTGGACTTTTCGGTGTAATATTACCTAGGTCTAGAAGAAGGGGTTCCTCCAGCACTTCCTGCCTACAAGCGTTGTGTTCTGGAGAGGGGATTGTGTTGGGGTTTTGTCATTTTATTGTCTTTCTTAATGTTCTCATCTGATCTTTATTCCTGAATGTTGGACTAAACGAAGAGGATTTCTTGACAAGAACACAAGCTACAAAGACTATTTATTGAAATGGACGGAGTTTAAAAATGGAAAGGAGCACATTCCATATTGCCACTTTTGTGTTTTGTCCCTCGGGTTTATTTTCTTATGCATACCTACCTGTGTCTTGAAAAAATAAAGGCATTCGTTGTGGTAAAGTTACACGATTGTGTCACGTTCATTCTAGTGCATGTGCATTTTACAGCTCAGGAAGTGTTAAAAAGGAGAAACGAAAGTGAAACGTGAGCATGTTCTCATGGAAAGCCCCCCGGAGTCGTGCTGGGGTTTAAACAGAGGTGGTCTGAGACTGAAGCGTAATTAGATGTCAGAGCAACGGGGATTCAGTAATAATTTACCTTTTATGAAAACTTTTCCGCAAAACGAGCTTCACTGGGTGTATTTGAGCAAATTCCCTAAGGTTTGCTTTTTCCAGTGCACGGACAACTTCACTAAAGACATTGTCAGCAGAAAGGTTTTCAAACTCCAGAGGAGAAACCGATGACGATGGATTGTGAAGGTGGAGATGTCACTAACGTTACATAACAGGAGGACCATAAACCAGCGTTTGGGTTCTCCGAGTGTAAAGGTGTAACAATAGAAAACGAGCCCGTGTTTGCCGACCACTCCTGTTTGGAAAACGAGATTTACGTCGAGTTTCTAGGAAAAGCGTTCCCAAATAGATCCGCTCCGGCTGAAGGAGGGATTCCATCTTTACCTCTGGGAATGCTGTGACTTCAGAAGGGTCACTGATCTCAGATGATTATTTTACACGGTCATCAGATTTTACCATTGCATCCTCTGAGTCACATGACCAAGAAAAACAAATGGGTTGGTCCTCAATTCTGATTTTAATCCTCACACCTTTTTGTTCCTCTTTCCTTTTTGTTTCCTTCTCCCTCTCTCTTCCATCCATTCCAGCAAATTTATTTCTGTTTGTTCATCTTTACATTCCCCTGAAAGACCGCCTCCCTTTAGCTGTGCAAGAATGGTGCTAGAGGATATTTACAAAGATGCATAAATAAAATGGAACAAATGGTTAAACAAATTAAAGTTAGATATTTTTTAAAAATTCATGAAAAATATAGTAATCACAAATTAACAGGGATGTAAACAGGAGAAATGCAAAGAAAGTATATAGAAAAACCTGCATATATGGTTTTATTGGCATTTAAATACACATTCTTATGGAAAATTACATTTTATTAAATACCTTTATATTCTATTGACAGTTTATTAAAAGTAACCACTTACAAATCATTACAACCCTGTTCTTTCTCATGCTCTTCTTCTTCCCTTTGCCCCTCATCTTCTTGTTCTTCCTCTTCTTCCTTTTGCTCTTATTCTTCTTCCTCTTGTTTTTCGTCCTCTTTTTCTTCTTTTTGCATTTTGTCCTCTTCTTTCTTTTCTTCATCTTTTTTGTTTTTCTTCATCTTGCTCTTGTTTTCTTCCTCTTCTTCCTCTTGCTCTTCTTCTTCCATTTATTCTTCTTCTTTTTTTGCTTTTCTTCCTTCTTCCTTTTGCTCCATTATTTCTCCTTCCTCTTTTCTATTCCTCCTCTTCTTCCCTTTCCTCTTCTTCCTTTTCCTCTTCTTCTTTTTTTCTTTCTCTTCTTCCTTTTGCTCTATTTTTCTCCTTCCTCCTTTTTCTATTTTTCCTCTTCTTCCTCTTGCTCTTCTTTATTTTTCTTTTCCTATTCTTTTTTGCTTTTCTTCCTCTTGCTCTGACTTTTCTTCTTCAGTGGAAAAAAGAAAAGAAAAACATGTAAATGAATTTACAACTTTATTGAAAATAACCCAAACCAGTTGTGACGTCAAATGCATAAAAATACTAATTTACTATCACAAACCCAAACATCACGGTCTTCCTGCTCCACAGTGTTGGAATTCTCAAACAACCGGCTTTGCGGGGTTTCCTTTGTTCTCAGGAGTTTGGCTCCAGAGACCAAATACAAAGGTTTAAACCTGCGTCAGACTCGCTGCAGAGTTCATTAATAAGCAGTTTAGTCGAGGCTTTTGGCCAAGTTCCACTCAGCTGTGACATCGGCGACTGATCTGCTTTAAACAGGAAAACAGCTGAGATTGTGTTCTTCAAACATGAAGAAAAGCCTTCCCCTGTAGTTCCACAGGAAGTATTAGACAACTCAAACAACAAGGACCTGTTCAGCACGTTGTGCACAAAGTGAACTATATGTGAACGTTGCTGCTTTTCTAAATCTTGGTCAGCTCTAGGCTGCAGGAACACCGTGAGCTGAGGTGGGCTCATGAAAAGTATGCTCAGAGTTTTCCACGTCGTTTCTGCAGCTCGGTGCACCTGTTTGCTGCATGAAAGGTGGAGTGATTTGTGACTTCTAAAGGCCACAGAATGGGACAAATCCAGTCAGACTTTCAGTCCTGGGACGTGCAGCGTGTGGTGTGTTTTCAGTTCTGCTCCTCATCAATCTTCAGGATATTTTCTCATACGGACCCCCTACAAGCAGCCTGCTCATTAAGCCTAACCGTGTCTTTAAGTCATGAATAAAAGGTCTCCTAAAGGCATTTTGAAAAGTAGATTAGAGAGGTGATTGCTTCAGGCTCAGGGTGTGATGCACGTGAGAGGACAGGGATTATAATTTACGGTCATCTGATCTAAAAATAGCAGCAGTCCCTGCTCATCTGCTGCCGATTGCTGAAACAGATTTAGATTAGTTTGTTTTCCCCCAGGAAGTCAAATTTGTGCGGACTGATTAAAGAGGATGTTGCCATGGTAACAGCATAAAAAAGCTTGATTTATAAATGTCTGGCTTCAAGATTAAATATATCCGAGTATTCTTTAAACATGTCATTACTATCGCACAAGAAAGTAATTATGAATCAAACTGAAAGTTATTGAATTAAGGAAATAAAAAATATCCTAATTAAGTCATTTTTTGCACAAGCACACATGTGCTTGTGCGTGTTGGCTGCACACCTTGGTGTGTGACATAACTTGTTGTGTCACACTCTTCACAGAGCAAAGTTTATGAACATTTCTTATCGGATTCAGGTCAAACACCTGTTCTGACACTACGGCACTCCGTTGCACACACCCTATCCGGCACTGCGGGGCTTCTAAGGTAAACCACACCTGCAGAGCTGCACACTCACCCTCCATCCTTCTCTTCCTGCAGCAACAAGAAAAGAATTGTGTCTCGGGGCTTAAACAGAAGCAGTAAGGCAGGAGAGCATGCATTCACTCAAAGATTCGCCAAGGGGTAAAGGTCCAAACAACTGACGCACAAAGTCACCGCTCCTCTGTGTGGCAGGATCCAGTGAAAAGAACGTTTATAATCTCAAAACAGTGAAATATTGTCTGGAGAAAAAAGATCTGTTTAAGAATGATGTCATCAAAGATGGGGTGACTGACCTCAGCAACAGAAAAAAACCTGTCTGCAAACCATCAGAGCAGGTCGGTGCACGGAAAACAACAAAGTCATTTTTAAAGGCAACTCACTTTACGTAAGAGTTGTTTAATAATTACCGCTCTTCTAATTCAAACTGAATCTGTCTATAAAAGCTAAATAAGTCAAAGCTAAATTAGCTTGTGTGAGGTTGTGTGTCGTCACGGTGAGAGCAGGAGGTTAGGACCCAGGATGCAGAATCCCCAGAACGACTCAAGGCAGGAGCGGTTTGAGAGAACACTTCCTTTATTTTAAAGGCGGATGCGCCAAAGTCCAGAGGCACCAAAACAAACCCGACTTAATATCAAACTCGCTGATCGAACAAACAGAAGCTCACTCATGAGCACGAACCAGGGTAACTAGAGGAGGACAGAACACGCTGATGATTACAATGAACCAGCGACACTGAGAGACACAGACAGGGTTATGAACACAGAGGGAAACAGGTGACAGGTGCGAGTAGTGAGATCTGGAGGGAAGGCAGGTGCATACAATAACCTAAATGGGGGAAAGAAACAAGCAGGATGGCAGATAAACCTTAACCTATAAAACACAAATACAACTAAACCTAAAGACTGAGGGCCAAAAATAAACAACTAATAACTAGATGGATGAGGAGGACTAAAATAAGGTGGACTAGGAATAGGGAGTGATTAGGAGGACACCTGAGGGAAGTCTAGAGAGGGCTGGGGATAATAATGGGACACAAGAGGAGAACCTGGAGCGAGAACAGGAGGAGGCTGGGGACAGACGGACACAGAACACGACAGTGTGTGTTAGTTACAGAACTGTGCCAGGCACCATTTAGCAAGGTGTCACATTTTCTCCCCACAATCCACAGGTTTAGAGGTTGTGAGCAGCTCTAAGGAACACTGACTGCAATATCTGTTTCTCTAATTTCCAGAAAGTATTGTTCCACGCAAACGCATAGATGTAGATTTTATTTCTTTAATCACAGCCAGTGTAACCCCTCAGCGTGTTCATTTGTGATAAAAAGCTAATTTTCAAGTATTCTTTTTCCTTAGTTGAAACTTTTGTTTCTGACTTTGTCAGTTCCGCGTTTTTTAACCTTCAGCAAGCGCCAGGAGAGCTGCTGCCAGGACCTTGACCGGGTAAAGTCTAACTCAGGGACTCCAAAAAGATCGTAACGCTTAAATGAAAGAAAACACCACTTTTTGACCATTTTCAGCTAATTTAAAAATGTTTGACAAAGACACTTGGGCATCCTTGTGTGTCCAATGAAAAGTTGAACTGTTCCTGAAAGTTAGAAACTTTGCTCATAATCAAACTTTTGTTTAAAAAGATGCAAAAGAAAAAAACCAGGCCAGGAGATTCTGCTCAAACTGTTTCAAAGACAGAAAATCCATAACTTGTCCACGTGAGAAGGTTTAGTTGCATATTTTTGATACTAAATGTATTCGATTTAGTTTGTTTTGAAAAGATCAGGTGGTTTTAAAGCTGGAAACACGCCAACAGGGTGTTATATGTTCAAACACAGTGAGGTCACAACTCTCCTTGAAACAGACTTAGAGGATAAATCAAAGAAATCAGAAACTGCGGCTGATCTGTCGTTAAGATAATAAAACCTGAACTTTGACCTTGATGGTTAATGAACATCAGCTAGGTTAGTTGGTTGGTGGGTAGTTAGCATCTTAAGCTCCAGTCGTGTAAAACACAATGTGCCTAAAAGGGCAAAGACTGTGAGTTAAGAGTTTAAAACCATAAAACATCCCATAGTTTCTCGCTGTACCATGGTGCGGAGTTGTGTAACTCCTCAGCGGTGTTGCAGACTGTTTTCTTTCTCTCCACCTCCCACTGGGGTTGTGTCAGGCCATCAGCAGCTGTTTAAACTCTAAATCAGCAGGGAAACAGGGACATGTAGCTAGTCCACACTCAACAACACTTCCTGGTAGAGGCTTTTCCATAACCCAATCAAAAACCTTGGGAAGGGGCCCAAAGTAAATAAATAAATAAAGAAATAAAAGTTTTTTTATGGTAAATCATTTAAATTAAAATACAGAGTCGTCTCAACATTGTAGCCTGGCAAGCCATCCTGTATATGTAAATCTAAAGTCTGGCCAAGACCCATAGACAAAGTTCAGTGGTGGGGCAAAAGCTATGGTTGTCTTTCAAACTGTCTCCGCTCGCAATTGGACAGCTCTAGGACCAATCAGAGCAATGAACAAGATGACGCATTCATCACTACAGAGAGCGGTCAACGGGGCGGTCTGCCATCAAAGAAGAAGCAGAAGTAGATAAATCCTTACTTAGCTTAACTACCTCTATCTGCATCTCAGGGTTTTGTTCACGAGTGAGGGAAAGATGGAGCGTGAGATCGATAGGCGGATTGGCGCGGCGTCTGCAGTGATGCAGGCGTTGTACCAGTCTGTCGTGGAGCAGAGAGATCTGAGCCGGCAGGCGAAGCTCTCGATTTACCGGTCGATCCACGTTCCTACCCTCACCTGTGGTCACGAGCTTTGGGTAGTGACCGAAAGAGCGAGATCACGGATGCAAGCGGCCAAAAACAGTTTTCTCTGCATCTGTGGAAAGATTAGAAGACTGCTGTTCCTGGGTGCTCTCCACCCATTTGCAAATGCATTAAGGCCTCCACTTGAATGAAGTTTGTAGCGTTTGTCTAAATAAAAATTCTCTGATAAAAGTTGTGAGCAGGCGTATTAATGCCAAATGTACAATAAATGACCCTTCTGCATTTTAAAAGTAAAATGTTAGTCTGAACAAGCTCTGAGGTTTGTGAGTGTAATTCAAGCCCGAATGAGTGTCATGTTGGCCGCTCATAGTCTTCTTCATCTGATGTAATCCTAAACACTCGCAGACGTGATGTGCATCACGCAGGAGAGGAAAACCTCTGCTGCACACACTCATTCTCCCTTCAGCAACCACGCTAAACAGCGTGAGTTTAGCATGAGTGTGTGCTCTTAAAATAACCCAGACAGAACACGAGAGGTAAGGAGAGCACTGAGCGTACACCAGCTCATAGTCTGGAATAATCTGGATTAAGCCTGCTGCTGACTGTAGTCCGGTTCACTGCTGTGGGTTTATGTTTATTTGAGCTCTTGCTGGTTGAATCGGAGTGAATTATATTCTACGAACCATTCCCTCTCAAACGTGTCGACGCCTGCCTGCTGTGACACCAGAGTGTTTCCATTTGCATCATTTATTAATGGCTGTAACGGAGAAGGTGTGTAAACAGATAATGATTCAGAGGAATTTCCAGTTCATCTTGTGATGCATGATGTCATTTTTTTCACAATTTTCCCATCTAGAGGTGAATTTATGAAATATTTTGTAATATTATCTCACTTAGCTTGATTTTAAGACGAAGCACATCTTGTAGCTATAATTGTTTTTATTTGTTTATCAGGCACTTTTATCCAAAGTTAAGTATGAGTTACCTGAAGCCCAGTTCACACAGCAGGATTATGATGCAGATCTTATCAGATAATCCTACCATGTGTGGTGTGCTATGAGTGCTCTGGTCTGCTGGGAAGTACGTCAGGACCGCTCCGATCATGAATCCGGGCTTTCTGACATGTTGAATTGTCTTGGGCTGATATTCGGGGGACACATTAATGTGATGCCTGTTGAATGTGACACGGAGCCAATCTGAAATCAAGACAGAAGCGTGCTGCACACTCCCCCCATCCACCATGTTTGTTTACGCTGAAGTCTCATTTTATCTTGTAAGACTTCCCGTCTCAGTGGAGAATGTCCACGAGCGAAAGCTTCTCTAGAGGGTAGTATTTGCTGTGCTTCGCACCACACTCTGTCAGATCAAACCTGGGATATCCGTGATTTTTTTTATCACCACGCATGTGGTCCGTCGTTCTTTGAAAATCTGCAGACTATTTTAAAATCCTGCTGTGTCAGCCAGGCTTGACGTGTTTTTGGTTAGCGAGAGGATGCTGTCCTACCTGGAGAAAACAGGTATGATGCTATGACTTTTTAATATTATAGAAGTCTTGTTTTGTAAGGGCCTCCTCTGGGACAAGCCATTAGCTAGCCTGTATCGATCGCTATTTCTTCTAACTGAGGGTGTTCACAATCAGTTTCTCTAGGTTACACTGTTCACAGTGATTTTAGTTTTTCATTGGACATTTAGTTTTTGTTCATTTAATCGTTTTGTTTTCTTTCTTTCTTCTCATGTTTTTGAGATGGGGTCAGAGGTTCAAATCCCAGGTGTGGTCTTTCTGTGCAGAGTGTGCATGTTCTCACCATGCATGTGTGGGTCTCCTCCCATATACCAAAAACATGAACGTTAGGTTAGCTTTTTACACATTATTTGGAAGGTAGTGTGAGGCTAAACGTGAAAATAGTTCTCTACACCCATTTCCTGCATCAGCTTCTGACAGAAAAAAGACGGGGAAATGCTCGGGTTGGAAAAGCCAGTCAGATCTACGCCACACTGTAAATTAGCATTCATGGACTCACCCATCTTGGCCCCTGATGGGTTGTTGGTTTAACGTCCAGAAGAGAGCAGAAAACACCTTGCTAGCAGATGCTAAATGTTAGCAATAGCAACTCCACCACACAGCAGAAATTCCTCCAAGCTTGTGTCATTTGCAGAGCAAACCGAGTAGGTGGTAGGGTCATGTTGTCTCCTGCTCACCTTTCAACTGGCTATCTTTGACTTCCTTTTACTTTTCTGCAGAGAGCATCTCAGAAGGCAATCGTTTATTCTAGAGACCACTTGATTTTTAATATCTTTATGCTTTATTATTTGTGGTCTTTACTGCTTTTTCGTTTCTACCTTTTTATATCAGTTCCTTTGTGCATCTTGAGTCATTTGACAATTTTTTCATGACGCTTTACCTTATATTGAATTTAAAATGATTACATGTCTATTTTTCTTTGACAGATTGTGATGCATTCTGATAAAAAACAAAGAGCACTTGGCTGTCGTCCATGGTTTTTTTGTTGACAGCAAAGATTGGAGTGAACCTTTAAACAGGTTACATAAGACAGATGCTGCGTTGCTACTGTGAGCTCAAACGGACGCCCAAAGTCTAAAACTGTAAGTCCCTCCGTAATCTGCCTCTCTGGGATTTACAGGTGCTGTTATTCACAAGGCTTTAGACCCACAACACATTTGACTTTTCCTTTATTTTCAACTCACTTCTCTCCTCTGTGCTGTACAAGTTAACATGCAGTTGCTCAGGCACAGAAACCTTTTTTAGTTTGGCTTGAGTAGCAGCTTAGTGGAGATTTGTAGATGTAATTTTAAAAAACGCAGAATATTGCAAGCAGCACAAATCCTAAATGCCAGCGCTTTCACGATATCTTTGTAAGCATTTAGCAGTAAATGTTTTTACAGTGCAGAACAGAGCTGCTGGTACAACGTGCATGTTGTTAGCCTTGTTAATGACACAATTATGGCTCTGTTTGTGCAACACATGGGCTGCTGTGGAAAGGGTAAGTAGAAGACAGAGCATCGACGCACGAGCAAACAAAATAAAAGATCTCTGAATTTAAAAAGCACAAAGAAATTGGGCTGAATCACGATTTGCCCAAAATAAGCTCACACCTGTCAGATCAACTTTGGGCCAATTCTGAAAATAAAAAGCAGCGTGTAGATAGAAAAAGAAGCAAAGCAACACAAACGTGCCTGTCTACCGGCTGTGTGAAACATGGTTGATCGTTTTAGTGAAACAAAACCAGCTTTCCTATCTGACTTGTCGTCATTTTTCAAGAGAAAAGTCATTTTAAATGACTCATCAATCATTTCAGTCTTTTTTTTGTGTGTTTGTTTACAGCGTCCTGACTCACAGAGACAGTAGATCTTTAACTTCCCCAGTCGTGTGCGTGATGAGGCCGTAGGAAGTTAAAGCTGTTCTGTATTAACCCTCTAAGGCTGTGAGAGGAGAGCCCTGATCTCTGGATCCTTACGTAAGTTTGAGGAAACACTGTTTCGCAATCGAAAACTCTGTGATGGCTTAACTGGAATAATTAAATCCTCGGAATAGAACCCACGGACAGTGACCTCTGACCTTTAGAAGCTAAACTGTAGTCAAGAGCGTGAGACCTCCAAACAGGCTGGTCCTGAGTAGCAGACTTTAGTGGTCTTTCCAGACTGACAGCAGGAACAACAGGGTGAATGAGTAGTGACTCACGCTGCTTATGCGGATCTTGTGACTGCCCCCCACCCCCCATTTTCTTCTTCTCCCTCTGTGCATATGGCTGTGCATTCCCCACCTCTCCTTGCCTTTCCAGGAACCACATGGACAGCTTAGGGGGAACAGTACGTGTTAGGGAACATAACATAATCCTGGAAACACCTGGAAAGTCCCTGGTTCTCCAGGACCTCTCGCCCCAGGGTTTATTCGTGTTCTTGGTCTGATCATCAGTGCACGTCTGATGAATAATCACACAAACCGCTTTAATAAGCTCGGTTTTTTGTGCAGCAAATGGGACGATGCTTGTGTTGAGTGAACGGCTCCTTACAAACAAAAGAGCCAAACATCTCCTGCATCGGAGGAGGCGAAAAGTCAGAATAAGGAAAGGAGCAGAACATAGAAGAAAAATGGTCTTCCTAGGGCTCTACAACCCCCCAAGGCGCTTCACAACCAAATCACTCATTCACACGCTGGCGGGGAGTAGCTACGATGCGGCCACAGTTGCCCTGGGGCGCACTGATGGAGGCGAGATTGCCGAACACAAGTGCCACCGGTCCCTCCGACCACCACCAGCAGGTATGGTTAAGTGTCTTGCTCAAGGACACGACAGCAGCATTCTCGGGCAGGAGCCAGGATCAAACCCACAACCGTATGATTACTGGACAACCTGCTCAACCTCCTGAGCTACTGACGATGTTTACAGTCACAAGCTTTCTTGCATCTGCTGAGTAACTTTCACATTCGGACTAAAATCGCCAAGTTTCCCCGAGTGCTGAGAATATTTAGAACTAGAAACTTCCTGTGGAACAACTGCTAATTTTTAATGCTGCAGAATGTAATATGTAATTTAATTAAAGCAAATAAAGGCTCAACATGCTTTAGTCCTCATAATCCTTGAGTGTGTTGTAAAGCTGTGCTGAAATTAGGAGGTTTTGAAATACTTCCAGTAGATTACGAAACACAAAGCAGAGGTGTCGTCGTTGTTTCCTCACTCAGATGACATCATCCGAGTGAGTTTCCAAGTCTGTGCTCATTAAAGCTTCACACTAGTGTTTTTCCGCATCAGTCGTAGGAATCACGGAACACACTCTGCTGTGTTAATAAGTCATCAGTATCTTTTTAAATGACCCTTTAAGATGAGTGGCGGCTATCTGCACGGTGGGAAAAAGATGACTCTGACCAAAAGTAAACGCAAAAGCCAAAAGCTGTTGAGATTTCAAGGAATTGAGTCATTTTTCCACTGCAGCAAAGGATCTGCAGTTTTTACAGCAGTTAAAAATACATTTTTCTTCGTGATGAATACGTTATGATTGGTTAAGTTGTCTACATTTTGGATTGTTATTAAAATGATCAAGATGGTTGGATAACATTTCACCATTGCAGACAACTAACCCGTGACTCACCTCAGCAGCTGAACAATAACCTTTGATTTCCTTTTAGCCAATCGGAACAGAAAGTGAAGCTGAAACCACCCACAGTCTAAAGCTGAAATTTAAAGTGGTCTAAAGACTTTTAAAACAACGCTTGCACGACTATCCGTTAGCAATCAGAGCTCATCTCTGCAGCTCCCAACTAGCTCGGATGTTTAAATGTCCAATAAGTAAGAATTTGACTGTGAAATAATAACAGAACAGTCTAATGTCTCGTACATGTTGGAAGGACGTTATGCTGAAACATATTTACACTTTGTGAACAAACTACTGCAGACTGACAACAGCATTTCTGATGCGCACCTTCCATAGAGGGACCGGTGAGAACAAGGCTCTATTCTGTCACGGAGGCCTCTCAGTTGTCTGTTCCCTTGAGACCCCCGCACTACTGGAAGGACAAGGAGTCCTCTAAAGACCGAAAGCTGAAAGCTTGGGATCCACTCTACTGTGTGATTCTCATCCGCATGACAAATTCTTCACCTGTGGCCTGCTGACAGACGCTGTGTCATCTTTCACAGAGATCCTCATCTGTGCCCCCAGACAAGCTGGTTCCCAAAGTCAGAGACTCTCTTGGTCAGCTTTCTCCTCACACCAAACCTTCTGTCGGGAATCTTGGTGTGACCTTTGACCCAGCTCTCACCTCATGTCAGTTCTCTTGTTCGCTCTTCCTTCTTCCATCTCAGGAACATTGCTAAGCCGAGTCCCATTCTGTCCCACTCTGAACTTGAGACAGTTATCCACACCTTCATCTCCTCACGCTTAGACTACTGTAACTTTCTTTTCACGTGTCTGAGCAGAACCTCCCTGAACCGTCTACAGGTGGTTCAGAAGGCCTGTGCTCGGCTTCTGACCAAGTCCTCCAAACACACCCACATCACCCCGCTTCTCCTCCAGCTTCACTGGCTGCCAGTCAACTTCAGGGTTCATTTCAAGATCCTGGTTCTGGTCTATAGGGCCTTACATGTACAAGCACCATCATACATTGGTGATCTTCTCAGTCCCTACACCCCCAGCAGGTCCCTGAGGTCCAGTGATCAAAGCCTGCTGGTTGTGCAGCACCAGGCTAAAGACCAAAGGTGACAGATCATTTGCTGCTGTGGCCCCCAGACTCTGGAACTCTCTCCCCCTGAGCCTGAGATCAGTGGACTCAGTGGTCTCCTTTAAAAAGCAGCTGAAGACTCACCTGTTCAGGCTTTTGCGTGACCTTCATCACCACTCTCTCCTTATTCTGCTCTCTTTACTTGCTTCACCTTCCTCAGTTCCACTGATTTCCCTCTTTCCTATTAACTCTCTCTCTCTTTCTTTACATTTTTAATCACAATTGTCTATTTTTGCTTATTTTAAATATATTTTAACCATTTTCTAAATGCTTTTTTATATTTTTACATTTTTTTGTTTTTGTGAAGCACCCCGTGATTTTTATCTTGAGAGGCGCTATAGAAATGATACTTTCTTCTTCTTCTTTCCAAAGGAAGAAAGGTTGTGGTTGTTTGATATCAGAGGATGCATCCATATGTGAACTGAATAAGCCCAAAAAGTTTGAATATCATGTACATGAAACATGAGGTAAAAACCATTCAGATACGACGTGTCAGTGGTTCAAACAGGAAGCCTGTGAATTTATTGATATTTCTAAGGAAAAGGAAGAGGATCTTTGTTTTGTTAGTGATTTCTAGATATCCGGACTTTTCCTGGGAGGAAAAAAAATGCTGTTTGTTTTATCTAGCTGGCTTGCTTCTCTGGACTCAGCATTTCTGTCACTGGTGCAACTTTCTGTTTCCAGTAGTTCTGACACAAATCTGCTCCTCAAACCCAAATATTAGACATGATGACCTTCACAGGTTCAATTTCAGACCAGTAGCCAGACGTCTATTGACACTGTAAACTGTACCTGTTATTTAGTCAACTGTGTGTGTGTGCATGGACATAGTTTATTGGTGGGGACAGAGGAGACATATCCCCCCCCCCCCCCCCCCCCCCACACACACACACACACACACCTTTTCAATGGTCAATTTTTGTCCCCTGCACTTTTTACTGTACAAGAACAACATTACGCAATACAAAAAAGACACTGGTTGAGCACTATGACTAAGCGGAAAACAACGTCTTGTGTTGAAGCCTGTTTCACATTAGAACCGCCCATAAGCTCATCTACTGGCTCTGCTGATACTTGCTAACATGTGATTGGCCGTTCAGTGTGTGTGTGTGTGTGTGTGTGTGTGTGTGTGTGTGTGTGTGTGTGTGTGTGTGTGTGTGTGTGTGTGTGTGTGTGTGTGTGTGTGTGTGTGTGTGTGTTTGCTGGCATTCAAGCTACGCAGTTTTCTTCAACATTTGAACTGGGGTTAGGGTTTCTTTTTGGTCTCTCCTGCCCCCTGGTGGACACACACCAATGTGATGTAGTGGATGGAAGAATATGAGGCTTTTAGAAATAAAAGTGTGGCAAATGTGAAAAAATGAAACAAGAGATTTGTTATAAGCGGATTTATTTGACCATGTTTACATAAAACATGCATAAAAGCAGTGTTTGGCTGGTTTTATGTGTAATAATAACACTTATGTAATAGAAAAATATAATTTTGTTTTACTCACTTGATTTGAGCAATTTGCAAATATTCTTTATATCTTACTTTGCTTTAAAAAGTCCCAGTGTTGTCTAACAACATTTGTAGTGTTGACAGTAATTTAGCGTAAGCTACTTGAAAGGGAACACACAAGTAAGAGCGTAGCAGTGCTGCATGTGATTTTGTTCTTTGATGCAAAGTTGGAAAGTTTTTAGGTGACCAAATCTCTCAGTTCAGGCATTAAAAAGACACGTAAATGGAAATTAAAACATTAAAATGTGCTTAAAGAACAGAAACTGTAACAGAACCTTTTGAAAAGACGATATTTATCATTTTTTATATATATATCTACAGACCACTGAAAATGGGTTTTATCTTATTCCTCAAATTTCTGAGAATACGTGAGAATTCTGAGACAAGTCAATTATTTTTTTCTGAGATTAAAGTAAGAAATTTTTTCCTCATTCATAAATATCTAAAAGAAATGTTTTTTGTGTCATTTTGAAGAAAAAAACATTAATTTGTTTTCATTATTAATTTAAAAATGACTAAACGTTTGTAAATAGATAGTTTTTCCCCTATGGGATACTGATATTTGTAGAAAATGATGAAAGTAGGAAAAAAAAGATCTAAAATATCAGTAGTCTTTATTATAGTGTCATATCCAATGCAGCTGATTCATAAAAAACTATAATGCTTACAAACCTAAATGTTCTTTTTACTTTTAGATTTTCTGTGACTGACCAACACAAAGTATCGCATGTGTAGAGTACATTTCTGTTCAGTCCACTGCATCAGTACTTTGCAGAGCCACTTTTTGCTGCAGCTGCAAGTTTTTTTGAGGGAATGTCTTTATCAGTTCTGCACATCTGAGACAGAATTTTTTACCCATTAGTTGCTTAAAAATAACTCAGTCTCACCCAGATTGGATGGAGAGCACCTGGAAACAGTAGAGTTTTAATCTTTCCACAGATGCAGAGAAAACTCTTTTTGGCCCCTTGTATCCATGATCTCGTTCTTTCGATCACTACCCAAAGCTCGTGACCACAGGTGAGGGTAGGAACGTAGATCGACCGGTAAACAGAGAGCTTTGCCTTCATGCTCAGCTCTCTCTTCACCACCACAGACCAGTATAACGCCCGTATCACTGCAGATGCAGCACCAATCTGCCTATTAATCTCCCGATCCATCTTTTCCTCACTCGTGAACAAGACCCCGAGACACAAACTCCTCCACTTGGGGCAGAACCTTGTCCCTGACCTGGAGAAGGCTTTCTACCCTTTTCCAGCTCAAGACCATGGTCTCGGATTTAGAGGAGCTGATTCTCATCCCAGTTGCTTCACACTCGACTGTGAACCGCTCCAGTGAGAGCTGGAGATCACGTTCTGATGAAGCCAACAGGACCACATCATCTGCACAAAACAGAGACCTGATCCTCAGGCCACCAAAACAGATGCCCTCAACACCTTGGCTGCACCTAGAAATCCCATCCATAACAGTTATGAACAGAGTCGGTGACAAATGGCAGCCTTGGTGGAGTCCAACTCTCACCAGAAACAAACCCAACTTACTGCCGGCAATGCGGACCAAGCTCTGACACCAGTCATAAAGGGACCTAACAGCTCATATCAGAGGACTTGGTACCCCATACTCCCAGTACAGCCCACAAGGCCTCCCAGGGGTGTTGAACACTTTCTCCAAATCCACAAAACACGCATTGTTTGGTTGGGCAAACTCCCCGCACCCTCCATGACCCCCCGGGGTATAGAGCTGTTCCAGTGTTCCACAGAAAAGACAAAAGACACATCGCTCCTCCTGAGTCCAAGGTTCGACAATTCGACGGACCCTCCTGAGAACCTCTGGACAGACTTTATCATGGAGGCTCAGGGGTGTGATTCCCCTTTAGTTGGAACACATCCTGTGATCTCTCTGGACAACCACCCCAGTCTGCCAATCCAGTGGAACTGCCCCCGATGTCCATGCAATATTGCAGAGCCGCATCAGCCAACACAAACCTACAACATCCAGAGTCTTGAGGAACTTCAGATAGATCTCCTCCATCCCTGAGGCCTTGGAGGAGATTTTTGACTACCTCAGTGACCACAGAACCAGAGATTGGAGAGCCCAACCCTGAGCTGTGGAATTATCCAGAGTGACTTTGGGCTTATTGGAAGGTTCTGTGATCAGAGTTCTCCTTGCTCAGTGAGACACTTTAGACGACCATGTCTTTGTAGGTTGGCAATAGCAGCACATTTTTGGATGATAAATTGAACAGTGCTCCTTGAGATGTTTGAAGCCAAGGACAAGGCACAACAACACTGAGGGCTCTCAGGAAGATCAATCTGCCACAAAAACTGCTGGTGTTGTTCTAACGCTGCTCCATAGAGAGTGTCCTGACCAATAGCATCATGGTGTGGTACAGCAGCAGCTCTGCAGCTGACGGAAAGGCCCTGCAGAGAGTAATCAAAACTGCAAAGAAAATAACAAACACACACCTGTCTGTCCTGGATGACATCTTCACCACCTGCTGCCTTCGAAGCACCACAAAAATCATAAAGGACTCAACCCACCAACTTCTTTCGTCTGGTAAACGATACAGGGCAATAAAAACACGCACCACCAGACTGTTAAACAGCTTTCATGCAAGAGCCATCCCTGAACTGAATGTTACTGCTAGGAGGTCACACTAACTCTCTCTCTCTCTCTCTCTCTCTCTCTCTCTCTCTCTCTCTCTCTCTCTCTCTCTCTCTCTCTCTCTCTCTCTCTCTCTCTCTCTCTCTCTCTCTCTCTCTCTCTCTCTCTCTCTCTCTCTCTCTCTCTGTGTGTGTGTGTGTGTGTGTGTGTGTGTGTGTGTGTGTGTGTGTGTGTGTGAGAGAGAGAGAGAGAGAGAGAGATGGAATAAAAACTGGGAAGATGATGATAATTGGAGAATGTGAGATGGAGTGTAATGTCAGAGCATTTCAGAGGTCTGGATGAAAATCTTAAAAAAGAGTTATTGTAGGCCTATGGATGGAATTTGATTTGGGAAATCCCATTTTTATGAATTATCATCATTTTCAATCTTTTTAAGATTCCGTCTTCTCTTCAGAATTGGATTATGGTCCTAACTGAGCAGAATAAATTGGCTTTTATCATAAAAGTATATTCGTTATTTGTTTTATTTACATTTTGTTATACCATTTGCTATAAAGACAAATATTCATTTGACGTGTTCTCCACATTTTAAAACACAATAGCTTTAATATCTTAGGAATCGGGTCAACACAAATGTACATCAAGCACACTTACTTTCAGTCACATGTGAGAAGTATCCTTTAGAACCACCCGCAGTCATTTCCTGTTGTGTGCTTTTGTCAGACAGCCACATCCGGTGGCAGGTTTCTTCTGTTGTTTAATTGGCGGGTGGCAACCAACTTCCAGGTGCATTTCCGCCACCTACTGAATGGGAGTGTGAGTTGAAATGGGGAGTATTTTACTAAAAAAAAAAAACTCAATTCTATCAAGTATTCCACTTTCCCTTAAAAAGTCTATGACTAACTTATAAACTACTATTCCCCCATTTAACAGAATAGTCAAATCATATGTCTTATATCAGGGGTGTCAAACATGCGGCCCGTGGGCTGGATCCGGCCCGCAAGCGGGCCACGAGATGGTTGTGTAAACTTTATTTTCATACTTTACAATGTAGAGTGAAAATAAACTTATCTTTGTGAGCAAGTTTCCTCTGTAATGAGTATAAATAAAACAAAGCTGCGCTCAAGGCTCACACAAGAACTTGAATCACTTCCTGAAGTTGGCTGCCACTCAGGATGTGACTTCTAGTATTGATGTGCTGGTGAAAGCTAAAAGATGTAAAGTAAAATGAGTCAAATATACTTTAAGTGCTGCATGAAACTGATCTAGCCATGTGATCTGTAAGTTCTTTGAATCACTAAGGAATGTTTTTTTTATTGATTGATTTTTTTTCACATTTTCAAGTACACTTCAGGTGTTGTACTTGTACTATTTTGGATACACTGTCCTCAGGCTCCAGCCTTGTTTTATATTGATTGTATTAAAACAAAGAAAACAATCTGAAGTTGTTTTTAATTTACCGGTCCGGCCCACTTGGGACTAGATTTCCCTCAATGTGGCCCCTGAGCAAAAATGAGTTTGACACCCCTGTCTTATATCCTTTAACTTTTAACTTTTCAACCAACAATTCCCTACTCCCCACATATTTTCTACAAGTACATAATACATGTTCTACTGTTTCCCTATACCTGTTTTATGCCGTCCAAGAATAAAAAGCGTACTGTTCAAAGCTGTATGTCCCATTCTCATCCTTGTTATCGCTACTTGATTTCTGTGTTTGGTGGCAGGTTTCAGGTGCACTGTCTCTTTACATCTCTGATCTCCGCCTCTGTAACGGTGACGTGTCTCTCCAGTCCTCCTTCTCTCCGGTTCCTCGGTCAGGCAGTGCGATTCCCTCTCGGGCTCATTTACCCTCCTAAAATAACGGTTAAGTTGATTATCGGGACATCATGGGCAGTGAGTATTATTTTTTCACGTGTGTTGTGTTAAACTACTACTTATTTACATTTAAAAAAGAAGCCCCGCTAACTGTTTAATATGTTTGTGAACTTCCCGTCGCTGACATTAGCACTCGCTGCTAGCTAGCAGGTTGATGACACTATCGTGTTGTTACGAACTGTTTCTGACTAGAAGTGCTTAGTGAAAACGAGTGTTTATATTAGTAGCGTTTAAAGACTCTGGTTTTATCTCCTTTGAGTTCAGTTTAAGGTCGCTTCTTCAGCCCGAGCTAGCTGGAAACCATTTGTGAGCTATCTTGTTAGCCACTCATTCAAAGACACTGACAGTCTAGTGATGACGACGCATTAACACAACCGGTGTTATCTTCATCACGCTGTTTATAAATCGTGCCGGACACTACAGCAAGCATGTGACAAAGAGTGTGTGAAGTAACACTGACGGAAACAGCGAGTTTTGTGTTTTACAGTAAAGTTCTGTTCAACGTCACATTCAAGCTTATTGCCACGTACCAGATTTATAGATAGCTGTTCTTTTTAAACACTCTTATTTTTTTATTTCTTCCAGTCAAACTCTTGGAGGTGATCAAGCCTTTTTGTGCAGTTCTACCAGAAATACAAAAACCAGAAAGAAAGGTGCATATTTATATTTTATTGTAATAAATAATGTTTATTTTGGTTTGGCTGAAGCTTCCTCTTCACTCCTGATAATGTGCCAACAGATCCAGTTCAGAGAAAAGGTGTTATGGACTGCTATTACTCTCTTCATCTTTCTGGTGTGCTGCCAGGTAAAAATGCACCATAGAAGTTGGTTAAAGTCTGCTTGTTTCAGGGTTTTATAAGCCATAACATAAATATATAAAACACTCAGTGGCTTTAAATATGTGTAAAAATCATCTGTAGCTGCTGCATTATCTTCAGTTGTGAGGAGATGTCTAGTTTTTAAAATACCTTTACCATGTGTGAGTGTTCTGCTTCCAAATAAAAGACAATCAGTTCAGCATGACTTGTTTCAAAAAGGGAAGTAACTTTTTTCTGTTTGGATAGCTGTAATTACACATGCTCTCTTCTCTGTAAACCCTTCTTCCAGATTCCCCTTTTTGGCATAATGTCCTCAGACTCAGCAGATCCTTTCTACTGGATGAGAGTCATCCTGGCCTCAAACAGAGGTATGTGGCAGTCCAATTAAAATAAAGATAAAACGAACATCTTCTGGCGGGACCTAACAAGAGCATCTCCCTCCAGGTACTCTGATGGAGTTGGGTATCTCACCTATTATCACCTCAGGCCTGATTATGCAGCTACTTGCTGGAGCAAAGATCATTGAAGTTGGAGACACACCGAAGGACAGAGCCCTCTTCAACGGAGCTCAGAAATGTAAGAAACTGGCCAGTTTGTGCTTTGGAAATATCCATCAGTTGTGGCGTGCTTCTTTTTAACTGCTGCTTTTTTTCAGTGTTTGGGATGATCATCACCACTGGCCAGGCCATTGTGTACGTGATGACCGGCATGTATGGAGATCCGTCAGACATGGGTGCTGGGATCTGTCTGCTCATCATCATTCAGGTAAAAACAACAACTTATTCAAATCATAACAAAGAATAAAAGCTTGGATTAGGTCTCTGTGTTTTTTACAACATGATTAATACTTCTATGAAGACACCATTAACCACTATAATAATCACAAGGGTTCGGCGTTTTGTAACTAAGATTCTCAGAAGGATTAGAAGGTTTTGCAGTGGCGGCTGGTGACTTTATTTTTTTATTTTTTTATTTTGGTTAGGGTTAGGGTTGGGAAGGTGCATATGAGTAACGAGGCAGCTTTTTAATAAATTTATACTATTAGCATGTTTTTTATCCATTTGCTTCCTTACAAAATGATGGTTTATGAGCAGATGAATAAAATAAATGAAAGTTTATTTGAAAAGACTAACAAATCTTTTAAAATATTGTATTTTGAGTCACTCCTGTTTTTTTTAAACCAACAGCAAAATAGTTCAAGCAAGCAGAAATAAATCCTATAAAAACACCGACTAAAACATTAGTCTCCAATGTGTTTAACTAAAACATGTCAAACATAAATTATTTCATCATATTTCTAGTCAAAACCCGTTTTTCAGGAGAAGCACGAATTGCAAACGTGTTCACATTATGAATGTGTTAAAAGTAACCTCATCGCTCATAATTCTAATAATTTACTTCCTCAATTTGCTGTTGTGGCAACCGGACTGCTTTCAGATGTGCTAACCACATATCACCACTAGGGGATGCTGGTCTTATGCGACTTGCATCCATTGACGGTAGAAGCAACACAGTTGTTCCATAAACATGCTTAAAGTTCACCATTATGTGCGAACTCAGCCGCAAAACGAACAAAGCTAATTTCATGAAGTCAAGAGTGAATTCAGTCTTTCCTTTGCTGGTTTATCGTGCTGGAGAGTGTTTATAAGTCTCTGATACCACATCCCATCATTTTCTGTTCTCCATATTAACAAGAACTCCATGAGGTGTACTCTGCTGCTCTAAGATGAACAAAGAACGGTGAGATGAGAAAAACTGAACTGCGGAGATCTTCCGGTTAGGGCTGGGCGATATGACGATTTTAGACCGGTTTACGATCTACACATCTGACGGTCTGTCATTTTTGAGAGACCTGTTTATCACGATTCACAGCTCTGCTGTTGCAATTCTGCCTCTGAATGAAAAGGGAACTTACCTCCGGCGAATGACACGCCTTTGTTTGACCCTTAACCAATCCGAGTGAGTCATAGTAATATATTAGTGCCCCGCTTGTTTTCACCTGTGTGTGAACAAACATGGCTTCTGCCGCGGCTGAGAGCGACAGCGAGGTTTTCGTTCCGAAGAGGAACGCCTTGTCCGTTATATGGAACTGGTTTGGTTTTTCACCAGACGACAAAGAGCAGCGAAACGTCATTTACAAAGTTTGCAAGGAGAGAGTCGAGGCAAGTGATGGCAACACCACAAACTTTTTTAATCACTTGAAAAGAAGGCATCCCAAACAATACAATGAGAGCCAGCTGGTAGCTAAAGCTAAAAAGCCTGCGGCTGCAGCGGCAGGTGCTTCTTCCAGGCAGCAAACGCTAACAGAAACACTCACAAAACTCACTCCCTACGACAGAGACAGCAGACGATGGAACAGCGTGACAGATGCAGTGACGTACCACTTGGTTAAAGATTTGTGTCCCGTGCGAACAGTAGGAGTGGGATTTAAGAAAATGATAATAACATTGGATCCGCTCTACGAGTTTTCCAGCTGCAAGTATTTTCGAGCATTGCCATTCCACGCATGTACGCTGAATGCAAAGTGAGAGTTGCAGAAAATATTCAGAATGCGCAGTTTTTTGCTACCACAAGCGATCTCTGGTCCAGCCGCACATCAGAGCCGTATTTGAGCTTAACTATCCACTACATGAGCAACTGGGAGCTACATAGTATTTTGAACAAGTTAATGTTTGCACAATACGTTTGCAATTGACATGTTTGCACTTTAAATATGTTTACGATTTTAATTTATGTTAAGTTACTTGAAAAATGAGAAAAACTGATTTTTGTAATAGTTTCTCTCAGGGCTTTTATCATCTCTGGTGTGAGTTTAAAATATAAGTGTGTTAGCACTGTGCTGATTATCCCTAATATGTTTATTTATTCAATGTTTCTCTTCTTTAATACGCAATTGAAGTTATGCTATTCATGGATAAAAAATCGTGATAAAATCGAAATCGTGATAAAATATTGGAAAAATCGTGATATTCTATTTTTGCCATATCGCCCAGCCCTACTTCTGGTTCCGGGTGAACATCTTGAGCTGAGACCCGGTTTTGGTTGCAAAGCTCTGCGCCCAAAGCCTCTCCTGTTCTTTGAATTGAAGGGGGATCCAGCACGCATGGATATAGCGTAGGTGTACGGTGGAGGTTGCAGCACCTAAAAAAACAGGAAGTCTGAGACGAGACGATTCGGTCGTGCAAAAAGCGTGAAATAACATTTTAAACTTACCATCTCTATGATGTATAAATTGTTTAATTTACATGTTTATTTGAATATTTTGTGTTTTCTATCTTATTCCTGTGAGACGCTCTAGCGCCCCCTATGGATGAGCCGCCACTGAGTTTTAACTGGTAAAATCTCCCACACCTTCCATCTGACGTGTTTAGTTGTGTTTGTCTGTAGCTGTTTGTGGCGGGGCTGATTGTTCTGCTGCTGGATGAGTTGCTCCAAAAGGGCTACGGTCTCGGTTCAGGAATCTCTCTGTTCATCGCCACCAACATCTGCGAGACCATCGTCTGGAAGGCCTTCAGTCCCACAACTGTGAACACTGGCCGAGGTAGGAGGCAGCAAATGAGTCCGTTGATAGGTTTATTTGACGAATGAGCAAAAGTTTAATTTTATGTCTTTGATTTATTTATTTTTATTTAGGCACAGAGTTTGAAGGAGCCATTATCGCCCTTTTCCACCTGCTTGCTACAAGGACTGACAAAGTGCGTGCTCTAAGAGAGGCCTTCTACCGACAGAACCTGCCCAACCTCATGAACCTCATCGCCACCGTGTTTGTTTTTGCCGTAGTGATATACTTTCAGGTGAGTTGCTGTGCTCTTCGCCGTGAGGCTTTAGGAACCATCAGAACCCTAAACACGCATGCCGTCCTCCAGGGATTCAGGGTGGATCTGCCCATCAAGTCGGCCCGCTACCGTGGCCAGTACAACACCTACCCCATCAAGCTGTTCTACACCTCCAACATCCCCATCATGCTCCAGTCTGCCTTAGTTTCCAACTTGTACATCATTTCTCAGATGCTTTCCACACGCTTCAGTGGCAATTTCCTGGTCAACCTTCTTGGGACGTGGTCTGTGAGTGTGATTTTTTTTTGTTTATTTTAACTGAATCTTGTGAGCATGTTAAACACCGACTCATCATAAACACCATATTTCACAACAAATTGCTAAATGGGACAAAACCTCCGAAATATCTAAAACGTAAAGTGTAGATTTATAACTTATGTAAAGGTTTATAGAAGAGATGATGGGCTGCATGGTGGTGCAGTGGTTAGCACTGTTGCCTCGCAGCACGAAGGTTGCAGGTTGGAAACTCGGCTGCGGCCTTTCTTCGTGGAGTTGCGTGTTCTCCCCATGCATGCGTGGGTTTCCTCCGGGTACTCCGGTTTCCCCCACAGATCACAACATGCCCTATAGGTTATAAATTGTACGTCGCTTTGGATAAAAGCGTCCGCCAAATAAATAAACATAAACATGCTTTGCTCCATCAGGTCGCTGCTGTTGCATCTAAACAAGTTGGGTTATAAAATGATAAAAATGCTGCTAAATGTATAAAATTAAAACTTTTAAATGTGTATTGTAGGGCTGCAGCTATCAAATATTTTTGTAATCGAGTACTCTATCGAATATTCTATCGATTAATAGAGTACTCTAAACCATTATATCAAATAGCATGTTATAAAATATGAAAGACCTCTTGAAATGAGAAAGCAACTGCCAGTTATTCTTCAAGTTTTATTCAAAATTAGTTTTCAAAACTTCAGCACTTCAACTTTACTTCACAGTAAACAAATGCGAGCGGCTGTGGCCCAAACATAACCAGAACCGCTCACGGCGCATGCACAAACATGGCTCGCTAGCATTTCCCTATTAACACACGTCCGTTTTAATTTCTACACATTTTTTTTCCTCACACTAACAAGGATTGTCGAGAAAGCATGTTTGCCATGGTTATGCCAAATTATACTGATCACAAAACATTTATTTACTTTCTTTCGTTTTCTTCCGCCACTCATAAATACCCGTGTCCTTCTGCAGCAATCCTGAGGGACAACGGACATCAATAACAACACAGTAAAAAGTCCGACGTGTTGTAAAAACTGCTATTTTTAGCACATTTTAAGTCCGACGTGTTGCTACTAGACGTACGGTGTGAGCTGAAACTTGAGTGCTACAAATGAAAAAGTCGCACAGTGTCTGCAGAATATATAGAAATACAGGCTAAAAAGCATTATCTTGTAGAGGCTCCGAGTTCCCTTGCAGAAGTTACATTTACAGGTGCTGCAGCACGGAGGATGTGGTGTTGTAGTAGGCTAAATCCATGTTGTTACAGTATTTAAACTGGACTACGTTTTCCACCTTACGACATGAAAAATGGTCCCACACCTTTGACATTTTCTGTCTTTTTCTCACTCCACCGGGGTACAAGTTGTCCGCCATGGCTTAAGAGAAAGTTAACTTACATTCGCTACTTGCGTGTGCATTCAGTGCAGTGTGGATGTGCGTTACTTATTTCGGTCCGGGTGAAACATGACCCCGGGTGAATGCAAAGCCATGAATTAATTAAACATGAATTAAACGAAGCCTCGAGGCAAAAAATTTGACTCGAGGATTTTTTGTACTCGAATTATTCGAGGTACTCGAGGAATCGTTTCAGCCCTAGTGTATTGACTACTGCAGTCATCTAAAGGTGCATCAAGAGGAACTATGATTTCATGGACTAAAGGAAGTGTTTTAACATGTAGTTTGTACTAAAAACCTGTTTATTTAGACTTTTCAATGTAAAATAATCAAGTTGTAATGCTGTCGTGATTGTAGGACACGTCGTCTGGTGGCCCGGCCCGTGCCTATCCTGTCGGAGGACTCTGTTACTACCTCTCTCCACCCGAGTCGTTTGGCTCCGTTCTAGACGACCCGGTTCACGCTCTCATCTACATCGTTTTCATGCTCGGCTCCTGTGCCTTCTTCTCCAAAACGTGGATCGAAGTCTCAGGCTCTTCAGCGAAGGATGTAAGTGAAGACTGAGGTGGTGCTGTGGGTTTGTGTTGGTCAGAACTTCTGTCAGAGCTCTGTTCTCCTCCATCCTGCAGGTGGCGAAGCAGCTGAAGGAGCAGCAGATGGTGATGAGGGGACACAGAGAAACCTCCATGGTTCATGAACTCAACAGGTAACAGCTGTACTCTGCATTTTAAAACGACTCCAAGCAAGCACCTGGATTTTATGATCACTAAAACTCACACTTCCCTTCGTTTTGTAAACTAAAGGTACATTCCCACTGCTGCTGCCTTCGGCGGGCTGTGTATTGGTGGTTTATCCGTCATGGCGGACTTCCTCGGAGCCATCGGTTCTGGCACTGGCATCCTGCTGGCCGTCACCATCATCTATCAGTACTTTGAAATCTTTGTCAAAGAGCAAAGTGAAGTAGGCAGCATGGAGGCCATGTTCTTCTAGAAACGCCTTTCTCTCCACCCTCTGATCACCAACATTACATCTTTTTATATCTAAGAGAAGCCCCTCCCTTCTCAGCACTGCAGTTTAAAGACTTTAGAGGGACCTTCACGAAGCTGAAATAGGAGGGGGTGGATTTACACATTGACTCTGTTTCCTCACTCCTCTGAAGGTCTGAAGTGATGCGCGGGACATCATTCCAGCTGATTTTTAACACAACTCCAGATACAAACGTCAGCGTTTGCCTAAAGGACTCTCTTCTTTCATTTATTTCCCAGGTTTGTGAGTGATTGCTTCAGTATGCAGGTGTATTTGATCTGGATGATGGCAGTGGACTGCCTGTATGCTTATTGTTGGATTAGGTAATACCTTTACAGCTAGCTTTATGTTTTGGTTTGTTAAACCTGCCAGTCAGGTTGAAGTGTGGACTAGAAGATGAACTGTCAGACTCTTGAGTCAAGTCCTGTGATGTTCCTGATTGTGACTCTGCATTAGAGCGCAGGGTCCAGGAAGACGTTGCCATGGAACCCACATTGGGTTTCAGCCTCGAAACGAGTGGTTTGAACAAACACCTAGCTGACCATTTAGGTTAAGAGGGCATTCTCGTTGTTCAAACGTTCCCAGGGATCTGCAGTATTAACTTGCACGTCACATTTATTTTTGTTACTCGAATCCTAAGATATTTTTGTTTAAAATTGTCTGCTCTGTGTTATCTTTTTGAACAAATTTAATTTTTTTTTTCAATTTCTGTACATAAACCATGCATTGGATAACTGAATTTGTCTTATTGTAAGATAGTCTTTGAATATGTAAAAAGAACTGCATTTCAGAACAACCTTGTATAAAAATAAGTCTGAATTAAAGACTTTATGGGAAACAATATTTTCCACATTTTTTGAAGTTTTCTGAACTGGCCTTGTAGCATACTGCTGAGTTATCAATGTTTCTCATTTAGATGTAAAGGGTATCGTGACTTTATTTGATTAATTATAAACAATTTGTCCAGATTAGTAGTTTTGATCCATGCCTAAGGTAAACCTGCAAAAATGAAAACGACAAAACAAGCAGAAATTATTCTAAGGCTTTCTAAACTCATCAGAGGGTTGAATCCTTAAATTAAAATGCCTTATATTTAGTTTTTTTTTTCATGAAAACTTATCGCTGAAGAACTTCATAATTTAATAAATTAAATTTACTGTTCACCTTTTAAACGTTAGGGGGCGCCGGACTGTCGGGTACTGCTTACGTCACCGGAAACTAAAAACGAAGAAGAGTCCATCATGCTTTCGAAAGGGTCGGCTATAACGTCCTGACAATGAGACCAGCGTGCTGCAATTTTGATATTTAGAGCTTTCTTAATTAGAATATTTAATTTCCAGAGGTTTTAGCTGTTGTGGTAAATCTAAAGGAAGGTTTATTTCCGTTACAGCTTAAAGAAATGAGCTCAGTCAGAGAAGAAGGTAAGCTTATTTTCTCCTGTTAGCTAACTTCCCTTAAGCGTTAGCTCAAAGTTTTAGTTTAGTGTAAATAAAAAGTGAACCCTGGGGTTGGGATGGAGTGTCCAAGCTGTCCTGCCGTTGAGGTAAAACCCAGAAGGTTAACGAGTGACTGAAGTTGGGGCTCAACTGTTCGCTCTGTGGTAAACAGTTTAACCTTGGGCACCGACAACCTTCACCTCACTGACAGACTTCTAGCATCATGTTATTACAGCGAAGGCCTTCTTATAATCTGTCTTATAATGTATGATGTCTCAGGCCAGACCACCTCACGTTTCCCAAAGTCACGCGTGCCTGGCGTTCAGCTTCCTGGTATTTACCAATAATCTGTAAACATGTCTGCTTTGGGATGACGTGGGAAATGGGCTTGCTTTCCATGCAAACACATAAAAGTGGTCCTGAAAGGAAAATAGTATTTGCAGATATGATCAGTTAGAAATCAGAACTTTATTAAGTTTACACGAAACATTGCATTCATCATGAACAACTTTTTTTCAACAACTCCAGCCTAGCAGACCTGTTTAAAAACAATCTGATCACACATGAAACCAGCATTTTTGACCAGTTTTTTTATTCACCTCTCAGTAAATGTCTTATCAAAAGTATCTTGCAAATTCAGAAGGGATGTCCTCACTTGTTTTGTTCATGTGTTCATTAAAGTAACAAAACAAACTTATGTCTAAATTATGAGTAAAATCAAGTTTTTACGCAATTGAGGAGCTAATTGTTTACTTTGTAACTCAATTCAATTTCAATTCAATTCTTTATTTCACTCAAAGTTTAAATATACAAACTTCAAATCAGAATTTAAGCATTCAAGTGAAATAGGGGGAGGAAGAAGAAAAAAATCTTATATGACCTACCCCCTTTAACTAAGACAAGATAAATAACAAAAAGTACAAAATAGCCTTATACACAAAAAATAAACCGCTCTCTTACTTCCACAAATAATATCACTACTAAAACATTAATCCTCCATCCTCAACTTACCAAATCATACGATTTTAGCATTTTATCTTTATACATTTTTTTGAATTGATCAGTAGTTGCACATTTTTTTAATTCATCATCCAGGTTATTCCATAATGTCACACCATATATTGAAATACACATTTGCTTTAATGTAGTACGAACAAATATCCTTTTAAACTCTGGTTTCTTTCTACTCTTATCATTTTTTTGGGATTAAAACAAAGAACCTTTGTAGATTAGTTGGCAGCAAATTATTTCTAGCCTTAAACATAATTAGTAAAATTTTCAAGTTAACTAAGTCTTTGAATTTCATAATTTTAGATAGAACAAAATATTTGTTAGTATGTTCTCTTGGATTTGCTTTATGTAGAATTCGCAGAACTTTCTTCTAGGGCTGTCGCGGTAACCGCAAAACTGAAATATCGCGATATGAAGAAGCCCACCGCGCTGCATCATGCGCCACCGCGATTACTGAACTTGGTTCAACTCAATGATGCATGTTGAGAAGGATGGCTGCACTGGTATCAAAACGAAACGTTACTTCGCTCCTGTGGGAGCGCTTTGGTTTTCAGTACGTCAGCTGCTGCGCAGCCAGAGTCCTTGGCCGAGACAGAGCTGCCACCAGCGGCAAATAAATAAATAAATAAACGCTCGGAGACCTGCTGAAGTCCCGGGCAAGCACTGCTTCTGCAGCCGTCCCAAAGAGAGTTTGAGCCGAGCTGGAGCTCACTCGCTACCTGCAGGAGGAATGCATCCACCCTAAAGAAAACCCCCGTGACACGGTGGAGCAACAAACGGGAGATTCCCTTTGCTCGCCAGAGTCGCACGCAAGTACGTGTGTGTTAGTGCAACGAGCGCACCATCCGAGAGGCTTTTCAGTGTTGCTGCAAATGTTGCCGCCCCTCTCAGATCCTCTCTCAAACCGTAGTTAACATGCTGGTTTTCCTTGTAGGTAACAAGGACGTGACCGAGCTATAAATCACCGTCATTCGTGTGTGTGAAAGTGAAATGATAGTGCGCCCGCCCCCCGGCGCGCGCGCGCGCGCCCGGTACATGTAATTTTTTATGCTTGATTTTAAACAACTAAACAAAATGGGGACTTGTTTCTTATTTGTTAGATGCTGCAGCCAAATTTGCATTTAAAAGTTTAACCTCCTGAATTTTGTTGTTTTTAAGTTCAGTCGGACTCCGACTGTCGGAGAAACAAGCGTTACTGCGATCTGCGTTGTTACTGCCCTTTGATCTGCATTCAGTAAAGTGTTATTAAAGAAGGCACGGCAATTTTTAACCTTTTTTAAATGTGTAAACATTATGTTTAGATAGTACTGCAATAAAAAAGTGCTGCAATAATATCGCACACCGCAATATTAAGCCACCCTGAATCACCGCAGAGGGAATTCCTCAACCGCGACAGCCCTACTTTCTTCTGTAACAGAAACAAAGGATTAGTGTTTGTTTTATATGTATTGCCCCAAACCTCAATACAATAAGTTAAGTATGGGAAGATAAATGAGTAATATAATGTCTGAAGCGTTGTAATTTCTAGAAAACCTTTGACTTTGTTTAAAATTCCAATACTTTTGGATATTTTTTGTTTTATATATTTTATATGGGATTTCCAAGTAAGTTTATGGTCCAAGAGAACCCCTAAGAATCTGACTTCATTTACTCTATCAATTAAAAAACCATCAATAGACAATGTAACTAAATCATTAGTTTTTCTGTTACCAAAAACCATGAATTTTGTTTTATTCCAATTGAGAAATAATTTATTGTCATTAAACCACTTCTTAAGTTTAGACATTTCACAAACCATATTTTGAATAATAATTTCTAAATCATTTCCAGAACAAAATATATTCGTGTTATCAGCAAACAATATGAACTGTAATACTTTGGACACATCACAAATGTCATTGATATATAGAATGAAAAGCTTAGGGCCCAACACTGACCCCTGTGGGACACCGTGTGTAATCTCTAGTGAATCTGAAATTTCATCATCTAACTGTACAAATTGATTTCTATTGGTCAAATAACTACTTAACCAGTCATGGGCGATTCCACGTATCCCATAATCCCTCAGCTTGGAGAGTAGAATACTATGATCTATTGTGTCGAATGCCTTTTTTAAATCAATAAACAACCCCACTGTATATTGTTTTTTTTTCTATTGCTGATGAAAGTTCTTCATTTAATTCCAATAAAGCCAGGGATGTAGATTTATGTGATCGAAACCCATACTGACTCTCACTCAGGAGGTTTTCCTTCTCAATAAAGTTATCTAGTTTCTGAACAAACCATTTCTCAAGCACTTTAGAAAACTGAGAAAGCACTGAGATTGGTCTATAATTATCAAACTTATGTCTATCACCATTTTTAAAAATTGGAATTACTTTTGCAGTTTTCATTTTTTCTGGAAATGTACCACTCTGAACAGACAAATTACAGATATAAGTGAATGGTTTGACAACATAATCAATAGTTTTCTTTACAATCATCATGTCAATCCCGTCACTGAGCTAACTGTGTAAAAACAACCAGCTACAGTTCTTTCTAGTTAAATATTTTTCTCTAAATCCTGAATATTTCATTGTTGTGGAACATTTATTACCTTTTTAAAATTTCTTTTAGGTAAAGACAAAATTATATTTGTCACCAAAGAAGATCATGAAGCACCCAGCAGCGCGGAGCTGGTAGAAGAAGATCCTAACGATCCATATGAAGAGCAAGGTGAAGAGCAGTGCTGAGATAAATCAGAGCAAAACCTGCGTAAAAACATAAAACCAAACATTTTATTTCCACTCTTTCCCTCGCAGGTTTAATTCTCCCCAGCGGGGAGATAAACTGGGACTGTCCCTGTCTGGGAGGGATGGCCAGTGGTCCCTGTGGGACTGAGTTTAAGGATGCCTTCTCCTGCTTCCACTACAGCAAGGAGGAAGTGAAGGGTTCTGAATGCCTGGAGCAGTTCAGGACGATGCAGGAGTGTCTGCAGCTCTACCCCGAGCTCTACCCTCAAGAAGACGACTCGTCGTCTAGCCAGCCCTCGCAGGATGCTGCTCCAGCAGAACCATCAGGTGCTTCTGAGCAGAACTCTGATACCACAGCGCCTAGCACGCAGAGCTCCGAGGAGAGCTAATGCTGAGCCTCAAGGCTCGTCGTTCAATATTCACATTCAGTCATCAGTTTATGGAACAAGAAATAATATACCTTTATATTTTTATGATGATTTTTCATTAGTTTATAATGTTTCAGAAAATAGAAATATCACAGTTGCTCGGTTTGAACGCCAAATATCCAAACTGACTGCATATGATACAAGCTGATGTCAATTAAATTAAATACTAGTTACAATAATGGAAAATATTTAAAAGCTTTTTTTTCTGCTAATAAAACCACAGTTTGTGTGATTTAAGAAGCAGATTTAGTTTGTTTGCTGGGACAGGCGCTTCTTTCATGAAGCCTTGGAGTTCTTACTGGGTCCCTCAGATCTAAATGAGGTAAAAGGTTCTTCTCATAAATCCGGACGTCAGTGAATAAAACACCAATATTCAGGTTCCATTGATCCATCCATCCATTTTCATCCGCTTATCCGGAGTCGGGTCGTGGGGGCAGCAGCCTAAGGCGAGAGGCCCAGACTTCCCTCTCCCCAGCCACTTGGGCCAGCTCTTCCGGGGGAATCCCAAGGCGTTCCCTGGCCAGGTGAGAGACATAGTCCCTCCACCGTGTCCCGGGTCTACCTTTAGGTCTCCTCCTGGTTGGACTTGCCCGGAAAACCTCACCAGGGAGGCGTCCAGGAGGCATCCTGACCAGATGCCCGAGCCACCTCAACTGGCTCCTCTTGATGCGGAGGACCAGCGGGTCTACTCCGAGCCCCTCCCTGATGACCGAGCTTCTCACCCTATCTCTAAGGGAAAGCACAGCCACTCTTTGGAGAAAACTCATTTTGGCCGCTTGTATCCGCGATCTCGTTCTTTCGGTCACTACCCAAAGCTCATGACCATAGGTTCCATTAATGTAAAAAGATATTTGTCATTTCTGTTCAGCGTTACAGGACCAAGCGTATATAACTGTTTGCACTGTGTGTGTGTGTGTGTGTGTATATGTGTCTACTTTAATTAGCCTTAAACAACAGGTGGAAACACAATTGAATGATGATGATTTTAAACATCTGTTTTTTTATTATTTCCCCTATTTTTATTGTCACTCGACTGAATTCCTACACAATTGTCGTCTCCCTCTGTCTTGCTGGGCTGCACTTATTCTGCTCATTTCAAACGTAACTTAAAAACATTTACCTCATCCAAACCAAACCGAAGCATTTGTGTGCAGCAAAGAAAAAAGCTGAAGTGAATATTCCTAAAGGTTTGTAATAAAATGTGTGACGACTGTGCTTTGTGACATGCTGGTTTCATTTGATGTAGCAGATTTAGAAAAACACCTTGTATTGTGCATTTTATTGATTAAAATGCTTTTTCATTCATGCCGTAACCATTTATGAAGTTTTAAACAATTGAGATTCTTAATAGAAATAAAGATTTGAAGGAATTAATTAACCTAGCCTGACCAGCCAGCCTCATGCTTCCTTACGGGAAACGGCACAAGTCTGGCAGGCCAGGCTAGAATGAACCAGCTTTCATGCTACAGTTTTAAAACTCAAGTTCTTGATGGGTGTGTGAAATCCTTGAAAGCCCTTGAATTTTTATGTAAGTTTTGAATGTAGGATTTTATTAATGTGTAAAGTTTTCACTGAAATGGTTAGTGTTTAATGAGAAGAGAAGTTGAAATAACCTTTCTGAGCGTGCATGTGTTCATACATGAGTAAATCATCAATGTAAGGTGTTGGAGAATCCTATGGGCCATTCCCATCTGTACCGGGTCGGCCCGGGCCGGGTAGCCCCAGTCGGCCCCAGCCTGGCCCGGTTGATTCCACACATCCTTGCCTTAAGCCCATGTGGGCTGATTCTACCCACCAATCAGAGGCTTGCTCTAATGGAAGGTGTGAATTGGCTGTCAGCAGTGGGTGTGTTGGCCCTGGTCGGCCTGAAGCAGACCCCCTCGAGAGGAGGGCTGAGAATGAGCCTTGGTTGGCCCGGAAAAATACCAGGCCACCCAGATATGTAAACAACCTACGCTACCCGGCCCGGGCCGACCCGGTACAGATGGGAGTGGCCCATTAGAAACTTGCTGTTAAAGGCCTTGGATCTAAAAGTGAAGAGGTGGAAGCACTGGCGTAAATTTGCTCTTGACATTGGTGGGGACTTATAAATCTACATCTCTCACTGGCCGTATGCGTTACAGAGGTGGGAGTGGAGGAGAGAACATCATTTAACCTTTTCTGCACCTCTAGGGTAAGGAGACATTGAATGCTTGCTGTTTTTAACGTTGGAGGTCAAGTTATTGGTGGGGACTATTGGGTCATCATCGCTGGATATTGGTGGGGACATGTCACCTCCGTCCATGCCAAATCTACGCCCATGGGTGGAGGAACTCTAAACTAAGGTTATCTATGCTGAGAAATGATGGAGTTATACGGGGCGACGGTGGCACAGGAGTTAAGTGCTCGCCCCGTAATAGGAAGGTTGCAGGTTCGAGCCTGCTCAGTTTGTCGCTGTCACAGTGTCCTTGGGCAAGACACTTAACCCACCTTGCCCGCTGGTGGTGGTCGGATGGACCTATGGCAGACTCGCCTCTGTTGGGGTGCCCCAGGGCAGCTGTGGCTACATCGTAGCTCATCACCACCAGCGTGAGACAGGGTGAATGACTGATTGTGTTCTAAAGAGCCTCTAGAAGGCGCTGTATCAAATACAGGCCATTTTAGTCCAAATTAAAAGGCATTTGTTTACAGGTTTAATTTGTAGTTTAAAAAAAAAGGACAGTGGACCCAATGTTGACAGAATCTACATTTTTATTATTCAGACTTTTGAGGTATAAAAAAGTTCTGTACCATTAGGAATAGGACTATTGGCGAGACTGATGATATATTCTAACTCAGGGGAGATGATACAATCATGATAAAGGAGCCACACTTGTAAAGTGCTTGACACTACAGTGTATTTGTCCATTCACACACTGATGGAGATGTCGCTACAGCTGTCCTGTGGCACACTGACTGGCGAGGCTTCCAAGCACCACCAGAAGGCAAAGGGGGTTAAGTGTCTTGCCCAAGGACACAACAGCAATGTCGAACCTGCAACCTTCCGATTACTGGACAACCCGCTCTACCTCCTGCACCACTGCTGCCCTATTGTGTGTGATATGAAAATATTTGTCATTTTTAAAACTAGATTAAATTTGAAAACTCAGGCCAGATGCATCCAAGCAATGACTGCAGAAGAAGACACATTCAGTGTTGTGAAGTCTTGTTGAATCAGAATGAAGGCAGTAGAAACTTCTGCCACCTAGCTGTAGGAGTTTGCTTTGCACCACACAAAATAAATAACTAATGTTTTCATGTAACCTCTCCAAAAAATCCATACACTGCTTTTAAATACCGTCAGACCGCCCCAGGGCAGATGTGGCCACATAGTAGCTTACCATCACCGGCAGTGTGAATGTAAGCGTGCGTGGATAACGGAAGCGCTCTGACTGCCTAGAAAAACGCGATATAAATCTAATCCATTATTATTAAATACTGAGCCAGTATCATAAGAAGTATTCGGCTATTTCAGTGCATCAATATTCTCTTACATCCTTAATAATGACCAAGCAAATAAAAGTCTTCAGGAATGTGTCAGTGTTTCCATTATGTCAGTTTTCCCCATTGATTAATTAAGACTCAATATCCCTGATCATAATGGTTGACACGTACGGGACTTTAGTCGTTAACATCTAAAAATCTATTTCACAGAGAAACTGTTTTGCTTGTTATTTTTAACATGCAGGCTAAATGTGAAAATAGTTGTCTACCCCTATTTCCTGCATTAGCCGCCCATAGAAAAGAGACAGAGTCAGTGGTAGAGTCATGTTGCTGTTAGCCAATCAGAAGTGAGATGTCCAAATATCAGGAAATAAGACTCCAAACTCTGCCGTCTTTACTAACGTCTGGTTCCTGAAACAGGAGCGTCAGAGCTTTCCGCCCATGAATATCAATCAATCAATCAAAGCTTTATTTATAAAGTGCCTTCCGCGACACTGCCGGGAAGCCCAAGGCGCTGAACATGGTACATGAGAATATCTACTCACTAGGCTTTTACTTATGCTAGAGAAAAATGAGTGAACTTGGTCTTTAAAACATTCATAAATTTGCTGATGACAGTGTTCTTTATCATTTGACAAAAGGAGAATGTTTAGCATTCAACCTCTGGCACACAATAATGATGAAAGTGCCAAAGGTCAGAGGTCAGTGACTGTATTTACCCACCGAAGCATGTGCCACATGCAGGATCAATAATTACCGAACATCCATGTCTTTCTCCTCTGTGTCATTGGTGGATTCTCCAGGGCAAAGGCCAGTGAGACAGGATGGTGAAAAGTGATCGGCTTTAAAAGTTCACCACCAGTGTTCAGTGACGCTGCTGTCGGTGTCCAGCCGCAAGTTTCCCAGAAACTACCCAACGTCATGTCAGATTTAAAGCAGCTGTGTAGCGGTTTACCTCTGGATCCTTTACCTCCCAACCGGGGAAGAGATCCCAACGTGCCACACGCTCCTGTTCGAACTCCAAACCTCTCAGCTGAAGAGGAACGGGTGAGTAAATAAAGAAAAAAAAATCACTTCTGCAACTTTGTCCTCATCTCTGTGTAAAACTGTCTGACCTGAGACCAGCCACGCTGCAGTAACACGTGTCACTGAAGAACAAAACCTGACTGCTTTTTGATATTTACAGGTAATCTTGCTAAAAGCATTTGTAATTACTGATGTATAAGTGTACCAGATTTGGATGCCGAGTCACAGCCTGTTGAGCATCGCCTCACGGCTGGTGGTTCACCCCTAACATTGATTATTTTCAAAGAGCCACAAATGATTAGCCAAACTCAGAGCAAAGTCAATATTTCAGACAAAAACACAGAACCCAATCTCTGGTCTGTCTGGTATCACCTAACACTGATTTATTTATGCTAACTAGCCTCTTGTCTCCCACCCCCCAGCTGGCATTGAGAAATGCTTTGCGGTATTTCCCTCCCTCCCATCATGCAACGCTTGCACCCGAATTTGCTCAAGAGCTGCGGCAGTATGGCCACATATACATGTACCGATTCTGTCCAGGGTTTCGGATGAGGTGAGAGGAGCCCCAGAAACCCTAACCCTAGCCCTAAACTTAACCTTTAAGCACAACATGAAGAAATGAGCCTGTTTCAGACACTTGTTTCCCTCTTATGCCCAGAGCCTACCCCATCAGCCAGTATCCCTGCCAAACACGCCAGGCAGCAGCTATAATGCTGATGATCATGAACAACCTGGACCCTGCAGTTGCTCAGGTGGACCCCTAATACTGCCAGACCTTAAAATTTAGCATCTGCTGGGGAAAATAAATAAAATAGATGAAAGTGAAGTTTTCTTTACTTTGCAGTTTCCTCAAGAGCTTGTGACCTACGGAGGGAACGGACAGGTGTTTAGTAACTGGGTCCAGGTAAGCCCTGTGGATGGTCTTTGATTCTGGTTACTCCTTAAGCAGCTGTAAGTTCATGTTCTGTGTTGTGGTTCAGTTCTGGCTCGTCATGAGCTACCTGAGCGAAATGACAGAAGAGCAGACTCTGGTGATGTACAGCGGACATCCCATGGGGCTTTTCCCCAGCTTTCCTTCGTCTCCTCGCGTCGTCATCACCAACGGCATGGTAACACACGTCCAACTTAATGATGCCACACAGCCAATGGAAACAGACTCACATTTGGTTTGGTTTTGTCAGGTTATTCCAAATTACTCCTCCAGGGATCAGTATGAGAAGATGTTTGCACTTGGTGTGTCAATGTAAGTCCTTTAAAAATGTTTGATGTTATCAAAAGAGAAAGAAGATGTAGTTACGTGTATTTCCAGGTACGGTCAAATGACCGCAGGAAGTTACTGCTACATTGGGCCACAAGGGATTGTTCATGGCACTCTGGTCTGTGAAACAACTTCACATCATTTATTATAGACCGTACAACACCAGTCTATAGTAAGTGTGAGTTTATCTGTGTTTCTCCTTGCAGCTGACAGTGCTGAATGCAGGTCGAAGGTACCTTGGCACCGATGACTTGAAGGGACGGGTCTTTGTGACCTCAGGCCTTGGTGGGATGAGCGGAGCTCAGGCCAAAGCTGCAGTCATCGCTGGTTGTATTGGTGTGATTGCTGAGGTCAGCTATTTTCCAGTCAAAGTCACTGCCGTAGGAGTAGAGACCAAGAGAATAGCTGTGTGTGGTCTGTGTTCAGGTGGACGAGGTGCCTTTGAAGAAGAGATACGAGCAGGGCTGGGTCATGGAGATCACCAGCAGCTTGGAGCAATGCATCAAACGCATCAGGTAACAGGAAATAGAGTCAGTGTTACAAGATACAGTAAACCACCAAGGATCATTAATACTGTCATGCATGGCGGTGGCAGCATTATGGTTTGGGGATGCTTTTGTGTTGCATCAAAAACGAGGCGAGAGAACAGGCTGATTGAACCGTATTCCCCTCATAACACAGAAATGTCATAAGACAAAATGTTGGAAGTTGCTTCTCCATAGCAACCTCCAACTTCTCCACCGGTGGGATCCCCAGATGTTCCCTCACCAACATGGAAACACCTGGTGCAGTGTCTTAATGAAGTACCTCAGGTTATATTAACTAGTGTAGTGTAGATCAGATCTTCATTTGTTTTACAGGGAGGCCAAGACTTCTAAGGCTCCTCTTAGCTTGGGTTTCCATGGCAACATTGTGGACTTGTGGTAAGTTAGCCATGAAAACATCTCCCTAACGCAACCCATCTGGTCCATACCGACATGTCTGAGACGTGTCACATGCTTCTGAAGTTTTTGATCCTCCTCTCTGATCAGGGAGAGACTCCTACAGGAGTTTGAGAAAACAGGAGACCTCCTGGTAGATCTGGGCTCAGACCAGACGTCACTACACAACCCCTTTAATGGAGGGTACTACCCGGCCTCACTCAGCTTCCGCCAGGCCCACCAGCTCATGTCCACCGATCCTGAACGCTTCCGAAGCCTCGTCCAGGAGAGGTTGGAATCTTCTCGTGTTCAGACAGACAGTTGAAGGTTTTCCTCTGTAAGATTTTGGTTTAAAAACATGTTTTGTGTGACATCACAGCCTCCGAAGGCACACGGAGGCCATCAATAAGTTGTCTGATGCAGGAATGTTTTTCTGGGATTATGGCAACGCATTCCTCCTAGAGGCCCAAAGAGCTGGTGAGTAAGACAGCACACACACAAACACACGCACGCACACATACACACATACACAATTCAGTGTGAGTTTGAACACTGAAGAGGAACATGTTTGTGGTTTACCAGGCGCAGAGGTCACCAAGGTGGACGGAGGGGCAACAGAGTTCCGCTACCCCTCCTATGTTCAGCACATCATGGGGTGAGACTGTTCAAACGTTCACAAGTCAGCAAAATAAGTGATTCACTAATAAACAGCTGACAGAAGCGCTTTTGATTTATCCACAGGGACATTTTCTCTTTAGGTTTTGGGCCTTTTCGCTGGGTGTGCACCTCTGGTGATTCCCAAGATCTGTCCGTCACCGACGACATCGTTGCCAAAGTTCTGGAGGAAATTGCTGCCAATGTGTCGGACCGAATTAAACAGCAGTACAGCGACAACATCCGCTGGATCAGAGAGGCTGGGAAGCACAAAATGGTCAACTTTCAGGGCATTCTAAAATCTAACGTTACAATTAAAACAAAAACAACAAAACAATGAAATAACTAAAATATCTGAATTCATGAGGACTCTCCTGGTTTAGGTCGTGGGATCCCAAGCCAGAATCCTCTACTCTGACCAGAAAGGAAGAGTCTGCATCGCTTTGGCCATCAACCAGGCCGTTGCTGATGGAAGAGTTTCAGTACGAGAAGGAGTGCTTTGCTAAGATTTTTCCATGTTTGCAGCAATCAACATATTTTCAGCAGTTTTTCCTCTCATAAATGATTAGGCACCCGTGGTTATCAGTAGAGACCACCATGATGTCAGTGGCACAGACAGCCCTTTCAGAGAGACCTCTAATGTGTACGACGGCTCTGCTTTCTGTGCAGGTGTGTATTCTGGTTTTTGTATGCAGCTTTAATCTGAAGTTTGCATATCTGAATCACAAAGAGCACTTCCACCTCACAGCGGGTTGTCTTTGCAGATATGGCTGTCCAGAATGTTGTGGGAGATGCTTTCAGAGGTGCTACATGGGTCGCTCTGCACAACGGTGGAGGTGTTGGCTGGTGAGACTGACTGCCTCTCCAGTGAAAAGTAGTCTGTGTGGCTGTTGCCTTGCATCATTGCGTTTATGTTTGATTCTCACCCATAGGGGTGAGGTAATAAACGGAGGATTTGGTTTACTGCTGGACGGCTCAGGTGAGGCGGCAAAACGCGCTCGTCAGATGCTCAACTGGGACGTCTCCAATGGGGTGAGAGAGAGTTCAGGAGGAAATGCAGCATGCTGTATTCCATCCTTGGTCATTCAGTCACTCCGTCTGTGAATTTTCCACGTTGCAGGTGGCTCGTCGCTGCTGGTCCGGGAACATAAATGCCTACGAGACCATCCAAAGCACCATGGAGGAGAATCGGCAGCTGCGCGTCACCATGCCCTTTCAGGTGCAGGACGAACGTGTGCTGGACCGAGCGCTGCAGGACTAACCACCTCTTCCGTCTGGATCGACGACACGGCTGATTACAGCAGAGGAATCCAGCAGCTGCAGTCACTTCAGTTTGTTTCTCTAAATAAGGCCTTCTGCAGTTAAAACTACACGCCACAAAGATGACTAAACAGGCTGAAAATTTAAATGATAATCTGATTTTTCATCACACATAAAAAAGTGGCAAATTCGCTGATCAACCAGTAAGTTGAAGTTGTGCGGTAACGACTGGGTTTATTTTTAGAAAACTGAGTTGCTGCCACCAGTTTACCCAGCATCTCTACTGAATCCAGTTTTCATGTCTGGAACCGGGAGAGAAAAGGCCTCCAGACCAGGCTACACCTCTAACAGCAGCAGGTCAGCTTTCCTTAACTGGATGACAAAACTTGACCTTTCAAAATAAAACAAAGCAAGTTTAGCTCTTTGATATTCTCTATTTTTTTCATGTTGATAATAAAGTTAAAAGTCTGTGAACATTTGTTATTGTTGACAGCAAATAAAATGACTGTGTTCATAAATCATAAACGTTAGAGACAGGAAGGAGTTTAGCTGTAAACAGGAAGTTAGATTCCGTTTCACTGATAATTCATGAAGGAATGCGAGTTGTTTTCTCAAGCACGTGTGTTGCTGAGCAAAAAGATCTGGAGTCATCTTTCATATCTTCAAACTTTGCATCCAAGAAGTCAGATAGTTTGTAATCGTTTTAGTCGTGTTGAGCAATCTGTCATGTTGTGGTGAAGAAATCTAACCCACGACATACAGAATCAGATCTGAGACGGTGTAAAATGTTTTAAATAAGAATTTATTAAAAAGGGAAACCAAGGAAGCAGCGTAAACGTAGCTGAGTTCTTGCACGAGGAAGCTGGTGCGGGAAAAACTGTGGACAGATCGGAGTTAGATCCAATTTGCGGATGGAACAGGGAATCAGGCTTATGTGGAGGACTTACGGTCTGTAGAGGTGGGAACTGGTTTGAGGGAGGAGTGGTCCGGTCTGGGTAGCAGGGACTGAGATCCAGAAAAGAGACGTGGAGGGAGCTGAGCTTGGGAAGGTCCAGGGAGGTTAGGTGGGCAGCTGGAGGCGGGTCTGGCCAGGGGAGAGGCTGAGAGACGAGCGGAGTTGGAGATCCAAATGGTGTGGGCTCCAGAGTTCTGCCAGTCAGAGATGAGTGTGTAGGTTTGTCTAGGAACAAGAGCAGGAGGTCACAAAGGCAAAAATCCAAAATCCAAAAAACACATCAAATCTCAAAAAATCCAAAATCCAAAAACAAATCTAATTCTCAAGAGTTTACAGAGCTCGAATAAGTTTCACAAGTGGCTGTTAGAAGGTACCCAGGTAGAGTAATCATCCAGCGAAGTGTAGGAGTCTCCCAGCTGCTTAAATACCCCTGGCCAGCTGATGAGCAGATCTGCTGCAGCTTGGTCACCTCCAGACACGCCCACCTGCAGAGGGAAACTCAAAAGACAGGGAGTGACAGCAGGGAAATACCTCAGACCGTGAATCATGCTTTAGATGTTCTGAGGGTTTTCAAAAAGTTGTTTATTTGGTGCCATTTAATTTCGTGTCTTATCAAGTATTTCAGCTCCAATAAAACGATTCCCAAATATTTACTTACCAGAGGAGATGATGCACCTGTCAGGTTGTTTGGTGAAGGTCAATGTCAGATGTGTTTTTGTTTTCTAGATTTGATGCTTATTATGTCTAAAACCTATCCACATTGTTACACACACACCTTTAAGTTGCAATAGAAAATTTGGAAAATGACAAACCTCTTAAAGAGCTATAAATATATTTTGGAGATAACAAAAATTAATAAATTTGTCTTCTCAAATTTGTCTAAGAACCTCAGCCAATTTAAGTTTGGGATCGAAAGCAACCATTGGACCATCCAGTTGTCTCTGTTGCAGCTCCCACTAACGTCTCTACAAACAGAGTGCTGTGATTGGTGACCTAAAACTGCTCGGGCCAATGACAGACTTGCTGAGGCTACAACGGAACGTGGCCACCGACATACAGTGTTTCTAGATTTCTAGGGTCCACTTGTTTCTTTAAAAAATACAACCCACCAGTTTCCTAAAAGCTTGTTAAGCCCTGTTTAAGGTGTTAGTCCCTAAAGTTACACTCCATGAGGAACAACTAGAGGCCGGCCGATAAATTCAATGTTTTCTATATCCGCTGAACTTATTTTTAAAAGCCGATTAAAAAATTTAAAAAATCAGGCACCTGTGTGGCCAACTGCCGCCACTACTAGACTGAAGAAAGGACCCGATGGACCTCAACAGTTTGTTTTATATTAGAAGTTCAATAAATATTAAGAGATGTATTGACTTATATTGCACACAGTGAGTGTTCAGTTGTCTTTCTCAATCAATGCGCTGCTAAAATGTGTAGAAATCAGCCTTAATAGTTAGATATCAGTTATTGGCAACAAAATTCTTTAAAAATCGGTATCGGCATCGACCTTGGGAAAAAAACATATCAGTATGTCTGTAAAAACAACAACCAATCACTATTCCTCTCTGGTTTCAGTATTTTACATATTGGGCACCACTTGATGTGGAAAATCACAAACATTATGTCCTGCTGGTATCCTGCTGCGCTCCTCTCTGAGTGCTTGTTCCTTTAAGAGAACCGAACTGAGAATGAATTTGAGCCTTTCCGCACTGACGTAGAGGGTTAGAGAGGTTCCCATCAGAGAGAGAGAGAGAGAGAGAGAGAGAAGCAGATATGCATGATGAGGACCTGAAAGGGGACCAGATTTCTGCTGCTGCTTTTTCTTTTGTAGTGGCTTTATGATGTGTTACATTTAGTCTTATTGAGTTGGAATCTTGTGAGTTTAACCCTGAAGAGCTCTGCCCAATCCTGAGCTCAAAGAAGATTTCCTGAATTCAGACATCATGCCTCATTTTCATCCAAGAAGAGGACTAGGATCAGCCAGAGGAAGTCTCCTGGGTGGATCAGAATGATTTTCTGTAAGAGAGAGTCACAAGATATTTTCCTCTTCTTCAGTCCCTTTTCTTAAAATAAAAATGCATCATAATGAGGAGGAGCAGTCAGTAAACAGCACCATGATGCAGGACGGTGACTCCACCAGCCAGGGGAGCAACGTGAGCTTCCAACCACCTGCTTCCTGTAAACTGGACTTCAGGAGGAACTCAGTCACAGACGATTACAAAATAACATGTCAGGTTCTCGGTCTGGGAATCAACGGCAAAGTGTTGGAGTGTTACTGCAAGAAGACGGGGGAGAAATGTGCCCTCAAGGTGTGTGTGTGTAATTTCTACTTCCTTATTTAAATCCCACAGATTATTTCAGAATGGAGCCGTAATCTGAAACCTGCCCCAGCCGACAGCGATGTGCTGTCTGGGAAGCGTCCTCTCGTTTCTGTTTAGATTTTTGTGAGTCGGACAAAGATGCGCTCTGTTACAGTGTTACATAAGCCCGTGCGACTCCGACCAGAAGTTTCCTCATCTGCTCCACATTAAGTATTCAGCAATGAACTCCATGTTTCCTATGAGCAATACCTTCAGCAGGGTAGCAGCAATGGTATCAGAAAAATAAACAGGGAAACAATTCCCAGAGTCACTCCACATGTTTTCTTTGGAAAGTCTCTCATGAACAAACAGGCATGATGAAATGTTTAGAGCAGCCTCTTTTCCAGGAATGCATCCCTGCTTGAGGGAAAGTGGTGCTTAGTGGTTTTGAAGGAAGGTCTCTCCTTTCCAACACTCGAGTCAGATTTCTCTGGACTCGTGTTTGTTCAGGAATGAGGTTGTGTCCGAGGAAAACAGGATCCCATGAGCTGAAGCACTAAAGATGGATCACGTTACCAAATGCACTTTGTTGCTTTTTGCTCCAGTTTGATGATGAAGTTTATCTGCCTTGAGAATTAATCTAATAAACTCTCTTTTTGGGATAGATTCTGTATGACACTCCTAAAGCCCGACGGGAGGTTGAGCTGCACTATCGCGCGTCGGGAGGGCCCCACATCGTACGGATCCTCAGCCTGTATGAAAACATGTACCAGGGAAAGAGATGTCTGCTCGTTGTGATGGAGTGGTGAGCATTAACTGTCTCACTACTTTTATCATAGTTATTGGCATTATTCTGACTATATCTCTAGGAAATCCTCTGCAGATTTATCCCACTGTAAAATGGGACAAATTCTTTTGTTGCAGATAAATTACAGTTAATACAGTATACTAATGTCTGTCTGGACAATAAGATGTTTAAATTTCAAATAAAATGTAATGGGGTGGGTTTTTTGGCTATCAGCTCACCATAAAGTAAGTTGGAGTTGAAAATGGACATGAAATTATTAGTTGAGTTTCTCATACCTTTAGAACACAATTGGCTTCTGCCTGTAGGGTGGCTGAGAAGCTTCACCAGTCAGAGAGAGCTCAGAATAAAATCGCTCCTCATCAGAAAGAGTCAGCTGAGATGGATCAGGAGTTTGGGATGCCTCCTGGTCAACTCCTTCAGGAGGTTTTCAGGGAACACTGGGAGAAAACATCAAGCAACAAATAGAACTCACCAGAGGGTTTATCCTCTCAAGCATTAGAATGCCTTGGAATGTCTCATATGGAGCAGAAATGTTGCTGGATGGAGGGATTACTGGGCGTACTCCCAGACCTGTTACTTCATCACTTTATCATATGAGTGGTTGGTTGGTTGGATAGATAGATGGATTGATGAACGGATGAATGCATGGATGGGTGGTTAGTTAGTTGATAGAAGATAGATGATAGATGAATAGATGGATAGATGATAGATGATAGACAGACAGACAGACGGATGCATAGATGAGTGGTTGGATGGTTGGATGCATGCTTGGTTGTTTGGTTGGTTGGTTGGTTGGATGGATGGATGGATGGATGGATGGATGGATGGATGGATGGATGGATGGACTGACAAATGCATGGATGGATGGATGGATGGATGGGTGCTTGGTTGGATAGATGGATGGATGGATGGATGGATGGATGAATGGATGGATGGATGGATGGATGGATGGATGGATGGATGGACTGACAAATGCATGGATGGATGGATGGGTGCTTGGTTGGATGGATGGATGGATGGATGGATGGATGGATGGATGGATGGATGAATGGATGGATGGATGGATGGATGGATGGATGGATGGATGGATGAATGGATGGATGGATGGATGGATGGATGGATGGATGGATGGATGGATGGATGGATGGATGGATGGACTGACAAATGCATGGATGGATGGATGGGTGCTTGGTTGGATAGATGTACGAGTGGTTGGTTGATTGGTTTGTTGGTTGGATGGGTGGGTGCTTGGTTGGATGGATGGATGGATAGATGGGTAGACAAAATAAAACTGGTTCTGATCTTTTGGTCCCAGCATGGAGGGAGGGGAGTTGTTCAGTCGAATCCAGGTCAGAAGGGACCAGGCCTTCACAGAGAGAGGTTGGTCAGAGCCTTAACACCTGTGTTTATTCACCCTCCTGTTTTGACCTGACATCTAACACCATATCCTTCCACCAGAGGTGTCAGAGATCATGCACAACATCGGCATGGCCATAGATTACCTTCACAACATGAACATCGCTCATAGAGACGTGAAGGTGATGCTGACCCCCAAAACAAATCCCTACAAAGAACAGGGGAAAGAGCATCTACTTATGTGTTGTTTTATTTGTTATCTTTAATCCTATCAGCCTGAAAACCTGCTGTACACAACCAAGGACAGGAACGCCACTTTGAAGCTCACCGATTTTGGGTTCGCAAAGGAGACGATAACACACAACTCCCTCCAGACCCCGTGCTACACGCCGTATTATGTTGGTGAGCGTCTTCAGTGTAACCTACTTGTATTAATGTGATTTTACAGTCATCATGTTTATGGCTGAAGATCTGTTGCTCGGGTTTGTGCCATACTTGCAGCACCTGAAGTCCTTGGGCCAGAGAAATATGACAAGTCATGTGACATGTGGTCTCTGGGTGTAATCATGTACATTCTGTGAGTATCAGGTTGGTCCCATCCAGCCTCATGGAATATTCATGACTGCTGATCTATTGTTGATGAGCACATCAGTGTCTTTTTACTTACCTCTCCTCTATCTGCAGACTCTGTGGCTTCCCTCCTTTCTACTCAAACACAGGTCAGGCCATCTCCCCTGGTATGAAACAGAGGATCCGAATGGGCCAGTACGAGTTTCCCAATCCCGAGTGGTTCGACGTTTCACAGGAAGGTCAGGTTTTCCCTGTTTTATACATCAAACAGCTCACAAAGTCCTAATATTTATGCTTTAGATTCACATAATATCAGATATTTTTTGTAATCCTATACTTCCATTACTGGTGGTCTGAATTTAGAATATGTTAAGCTTTTTCCTGTGAACACTATTTTATTTACTTTTTGAAGTGTTAATACCGCAGTCGACTAAAAATTAATACAACAATGAGACAAACTCATCTTGCACATGCGTATTTCATTTAAAGGGATAATTCTGTCATTTTCAAGTGTGTTTCTGTGTAAAACTTCTAATTAATTAACATCTCATCCCTGAAAAACCTTTTTTAGAGAAATAAAGGCTACATCCAACAACAATACTGAGCTAACCGTTAGTTTGAACTCAAAATCAAGGGGCAATCTCCACCTGGCTAAAATGAGTCCAACTGTAAAAGTGACAACACTTGCAGTTCCCCCCTCATCCTCTAGGGGCTGGCTTCAGAAAGGAGCAATTTCACATTGACTTCCATTTTAAAAATGCCAACTTTACAGCAGAATAAAACATATTTACAGCCTGGTTCAAAAAACATTTTTGGTTTAATAAGTCAAGTTTACCGTCATGACAACTCTGAGGGGGGTGAAGTTGTTTGTAAGTTATCCGTTAAAACGTAATTAAAGCTTGAAATTATGAATAATTAGGAGTGTGTCCTTTTGATTGACAGGTAGCAGATGAGCCATCAGTGGGAGCGTTAGGGGCTTGCCCCCCTGCTTGCTTGAAAGGTCTGAGCCTCGGCCTCACGTTAACTCATTCACTGCCAGTCGTTTGAAAAGCCCTTCGCTGCCAGCGATTTTCAGCGTTTTTACTGTTTTTTTAAAAGTCACAGAACGTTGTAAACTATGATGATGTCAGCGCCAAAACTAACAAAACAAAGAGGAGACTCACCTCTTACATCAGGAAGAATCCGTGCGTTTCGAGCGTTATCCATTCTTTCATAATCCGTTGTCGAATTGTGATCGGCAGAAGCTTTTCCAGTTCGCGTCTCACTTTTTTTACAGCAGCGACCCAAAACGATCTCCTAACACAGGGGTGGGGAACCCTGGTCCATCGAGGGCCGCTATCCAGCATATTTTAGTTTCAACCCTGCTTCAACACACCTGATTTCAACCAGCAGGTGATTAACAGGCTTCTGCAGAGCTTGATCAGCTGCTGAACAGGTGAATCAACCACTGAATCAGAAGTGTTGGAGCAAAGACGTGCAGGATACCGGCCCTCGAGGACACATGAATTTTCTGCTTCCTAATCACGTGACGTGTGACGTACGCGGATGAAGATCAGCTTTAGAACTGGGATTTTTGTTCACAGGGTGCGGGGGCTCGTTCCGACGCCTACACAGTAAAGAAATGCCTAAAGTCATCATTGGCAGTGAACGGTTGGATTTAAAATGATGACTTTTGTTGTCAATGGCAGTGAATGAGTTAAAAGACTAACACCTGATTTATACTTCCCTGTCTGTCGGTTCGAAGACTGGCGATTGGTCAGGATGCCGCTTCCATTAAATTTGTCAACAGCACCGCCATCGCGTCCTCAAAAAAATGAAAAGACAGCCGAAGATATGTAGCGGCAGACACAGAGCAGCTTTAAGAATACCTCGTGGAAAATATGAACGTTTATTAACCCGTGACTGGAGGCGTACAAAGATATGCAGCATACATTGTATTTGACCAGAAACTTGGGTTTAGAGGTGGCAAGCTCACAAAGAGGTGGAGAATGTGGGATGAATTTGTTTGTGTTAAAAAGTCACTGAAACACAAAAATGCACCATCTTACACCGAATACATGACTGTAACGGTGATACCACAGAAAAGCGCTATGCCTATGCCTCTGTGGTCCTGGCAGGGATTTGCTTTGCAACACTCCCCCCCAGGTGACGGTCACGGAGAAGTCCGAAGGCAAAACGTCCCTGTCAATGCATGTGTCCCCCCAGGTGGAGCTGACAGAGAAGTATAAATTAGGCTTTACAGCCCAGAAGGCAAAATTGCTCAGCCGTGGTTTTCCGGCTAAAAGTGCCCACCAACCTCCGTTAGCTTCGGTTAGCACAGTTAGCTCATCGCAAATCAGCTCAGAGTCTGATGGGTGACAACCATTTGCCCCCACCCTCACAGCCCTTCTCTCAGCTCCAATTTTGTACGTAACAAGATGTGTAACGGGGCTAAGATGGCAGTGGTGAGAATCGCCCAATGGGTTTTAATCAGAAACCTACGGGCGACGGCGCGGATGGTTCGTTCATCTTATACATACACAGTCTATGGTCAAAACCAGAGGCGATTGCCTTTGTTCTAAAACATTCTCCAAACTACCACTGCATGTATGCAAGTTATTTATAAAATTAATTCATTTATGTATTAAACTAATCACAGTGTAATGCATTGCATCCATTCATAAAAGTAGGAAACACATTACTCTCTACATTTGCTATCTTGCACCTTATTGCAGATTTTAAATGATTTGGTTATTTTCATGAGTATAACTATTAATTAATTAAAAAGTGTAATTTGACCCTGTAGCAGCAAAGGCAGCACTTCCAGCTCTTGAGCGGTCAAGTCCAGTCATAATTTCTCAATAGCTCTCTTGACAGTGTGATGCAAAACCGAAGGTGGTGTAAAGTTTTATAAAGTGATATTAACAGGAATTTCACTAAGATTTTGAAGACTGGAGCTTTTTTCAGCTTTGGTCTTGGCTGTGCTCGGACTAGCCGTTGCCTCATTATACTTGTATGTAAATGGTAATTCTCTAAAGTCTGGTCATTGAAGAAGGACCACTTAGCAATGTTTTTATAACTTTACACTGACACACTTTAGCATGGCCTTTAAACTTTTATTTCAATCCATTCCCCCTTCAGCCAAACAGCTTATTATTCAGCTACTGAAGACCGAGCCCAGTGAGAGGATGACCATCAGACAGTTCATGAACCATCCTTGGATCAGTGTAAGTTAGGGATTTTCCAGGCTCCTGTACGTGACTCCCAGTTGAATCCTGGATGTTTCTGGTTTTATCCAACAGCAGTGGATGGTGGTTCCTCCAACACCTCTTCACACCTCTCGTGTTTTGGCAGAAGACATGGAGCTGTGGGATGATGTGAAAGTGAGACTCAATCTGTCTGTCTTCAGTGACATTTTGGCCACAAGGTGGCAGAAAAACCCAGCTGAGAGTTATCTGTATTCCAACAGGAGGAGATGACCAGCGCCCTGGCCACCATGCGAGTGGACTATGACCAGGTGAAGATCAAGGACCTGGACACGTCCAACAACCCTCTGCTGAACAAAAGACGCAAGAGGCCTAAAGACACTGACAGAGGGGAGGGCGCTGGAAGTGTTGGGGCGGTTGGCCAAATAGACGCAGCACTTTCAGAGGAACGTGGGGAACTAGTTTTATCAGAAAAGTAAAAGTGAGCAGTAATATTGTTCCGTATTTTTCTGTTCTTGCTCTCTGTGGTGGTGCACTCAGTAATCGAGAGTCACATTATTTTGTAACAGTTATTTGTCCAAATAAAATAAAACTTGTTTGTTTCATACATTTTTGTCTTTTCAGTTTTTTTTCCTCAGAATTCTTACCAACATGTTTGATGCGATAGTATCTGTTAATGTTTGTTCACTTTATTTTTGAATGATTTAAAAAAGACATTGATTTAAAGTTATGATAACAGACTCCTCTGGGAGTCTGTGATGAACAAGGATCGAGCCCTACGAAACAAAATGGTTTCCTCCTTATTTCTCAGTTCTGCCATATTTTCTCAGGTTCTCTCGGGATAGCTTCTCACAAGATTTAACTTCATGACTAATTACTGGTGACAAGTTACAAAAATGTTGGATAATATAAACATGTTTAAAAGTGCATATCAAGATGCCTGTAAACCTATTTAAATTGGCTAGTGAGACAAAAATGCTCACTTTAGCTGTAAGTGTTTTAGTTTAGTTTAATGAAACTTAGTTTAGTTCTATTTGGTTGTTAGTTGTTGGCTACAAAGTCAGTCCTATCCGCTATACTATGGAGGACTGATCCGAATAACTAAATAAGGGAGGAAATAAATACATAAAGATGCAGAGTGAGGAAGCGAAGCCTGGGGACTTTGGGTTGGACACTCCAATCCCTGGAGCTGAGGTCACTGAGGTGGTCAAAAAGCTCCTCAGTGGATATAAGGCTCCTGGGGTGGATGAGATCCACCCGGAGTTCCTTAAGGCTCTGGATGTCATAGGGCTGTGTTGGCTGTCGTGTGGACATCAGGGGCGGTTCCACTGAAATGGCAGGCTGGGGTGGTGGTTCCCCCATTTAACTCATTCACTGCCATTGACGACTAAAGTTGTCATTTTAAATCCAACCGTTCACTGCCAATGATGACTAGAGTCGTCATTTGCATGTTTTTCGGAACGAGCCCCCGCACCGTGAGAACAAACATCTCAGCTCTAAAGCCGATCCTCATCTGAGTACATCACACGTCACGTGATCAGGAAGCAGAAAATCCATGTGTTAGGAGATCATTTTGGGCCGCTGCTGTATAAAAAAGTGAGGAGCGAACAGGAAAAGCTTCTGCCAATCACAATTCGACAATGGATTATGAAAGAATGGATAACGCTCGAAACGTGCAGATTCTTCCTGATGTAAGAGATGAGCCTCCGCTTTGTTTTGGTTGTTTTGGTTGTTTTGGCGTCGACATCATCCTAGTGCACAACGTTCTGTGATTCTTAAAAAAACAGTAGAAATGGTGAGAAACGCTGGCAGCGAAGGGCTTTACCGATCAGGAAACATCTGGCAGTGAATGAGTTAAAAAGGGTGTGTTCCAACTACAGGAGGGATAACACTCCTGAGCCTCCCTGGTAAGGTCTATTCAGAGGTTCTGGAGAGGAGAGTCTGTCAGTTTGTCGAACCTCTGATTCATGAGGAGCAATGTGGTTTTCGTCCTGGCCGTGGAACACTGGACCAGCTCTACCCTTAGTGGGTCCCGGAGGGTGCGTGGGAGTTTGCCCAACCAATCTACAAGAGTTTTGTGGATTTGGAGAAAGCATTCGACCCTCAAAAGGCCCTTTGGGAGAGTCAGGCTTACTTCCAATGAGAGTGGGACTCCACCAAGGCTGCCCTTTGTCACAGATTCTGCTCATAACTTTTATGGACAGGATTTCAAGGCACAGCCAAGGTGTTGAGGCAGTGCTGGACTGACCATAGGGCATAGCGGGCAACTGCCCGCTGGGCCGACCCTTTCATCTTTTATGGGCCGGTGTCTGTTTTTTTTTTTTTTTCCTGGCCTCTAGTTGTTGCGGACAACTTGCCCGCGCCGCCCCACGCGACGCCTCGTAAAAGTTGGTGGATTGGCCAATTGGTAATAATACACTCTGGGCTGGACCAATAGCCAGAGGTCTGATGCACCCGCCAGTTGTTTGTGAATCTCAGTAAACAGACAGACGAGCTTAACAAAATGGAGAACAAAAAACGGAAAGGAGAAGCGGAGAAAATTCGACTAAAAAAGAAACTGGCCCTTCAGGCTGATGCTGGCACATGTGTTAAAATCTCACAGTTGTTTGGTAGTGAAGGTTCAAGTAAAATCAATTTAGGAAGTGATGGAGCCTCAGCCCAGCGACAGGTTGGAGAAGAAAAGAGGGAGGAGGAGGAGAAACCCGAGCCGGTGTTGTGCCATAAATTGACTCGCTGCCAAAAAATGATTAGCCACCGCGGGATCGCGCACGGTTAGGTAATTGCATTTCTAGACAAAATTCCCCAGGATTTCGCCCTAAAACTCAGCATATCTGGCAATATGGACATTCAGAAAGCAAAGATAACCTCTTCCGGTACTTAAACAGATGTTTATCGCGGATATTAGTGTGGCAGTGTTTGTGGCACCCTGCGCGGGAGCACGAGGACGTGCTTGTGGAAAGAGGGAGGAAGATGAGGCAGTGTGAGCATCCACAATGTCCCGATAGATTGTGCGCCCTGGCTATTTGGCCAGGGAGATGTTCCTTTGGCTGACTGGTTAGAGCGTATGACTCTCACCCGGGAGTCTGGGGATCGAATCCCGTCCGGGCACTCCTTGCCACATTAGTTTTTCCAGTTCGGAAGTTGTTTTAAGTGTTGCTATTTGTCTTAAACGTTCACAATGAGGATATATTAATCCTTTTTGCAATATTAGCGATTGAAAGATGGTTTGTGCCACAAACTTTGTGGTAAGAACTGGCTTTCTTTATGTTACAGCCATGATACTAAAAAAATAAATAACAATGTAAAATGGCACCCTGTATTGAATGTAAACGTTGTATAAATGGAAATAAACAATTCTCCAGCGATTTAATTTTTTCCCCTTCCTTTCTTTAGTCCACTTGACATGGAGCCACAGCTAACTAGTTTGGGACACATTTTTACTTGAAAAAAAGTATTTAAAATGATCAAGCTTTGGCTTTACAATGACACTGTGTAGGTTGCTATTCATTACGTTGCTCTATTTAAAAGTAACAAGATAAAAGCACTTCAGCACATAAAATTAAGATTGTCACTTGCCAAATAGACTACACCCTCCCGTTTACCTATAAGAAATGCCTCAAAATATCTTTAAATTCTTTATTGATGATTTAATTGTAGACAACTAAAATGGCATTTTACTTGCCAAAAAGTGATTGAATCGCTAAGATTTTCATGGAGGCTAAAATTGACCAAATAAGGGTTTTATGTATTATCTGTTGACGTTACTGTACTCACTGCCTATTGTGTCATCAAAAACACCCCAAAAATGGCAAAAAAAAAAAAAAAAAAAAAAAGAAGATAATTTCCCTCGCCAAAAATTGATTACAGTGTCCTGGTCACCTGTAAAGGGTTACATTTACCTAAATATTACTTTATTTATTATCTCTTGATGTTATTAGTGCCATCACAGGATGCCGGTGTCTTTCACATTCATAAACACCTCAAAAATGGCAACAAATGATCATTTCCCTTGCCAAAAATTGATTACAGTGTCCTGGTCATTTGTAAAGGGTTAAATTGACCTAAATATTACCTTATTTATTATCTCTTGATGTTATTAGTGCCATCACAGGATGCTGGGTGTCTTCCACATTCATAAACACAGAGTCCTGGTCACCCATAAAGGCTTAAATTGGCATAAATATTACTTCATTTATTATGATGCTGGGTGTGTTCCACAATCATATTCGAATAAACATGAAAATATTCTGTCCGAATATCTGTTTCTTGTTATAAATATAACAGCTAGAAGGATTTACAGTTAAAATAGGAGAAACACGTGACTCCCCAGGAAGGGTCGTAACACCACTTGCCTCATGCATAAGTGAACAAAACAAAGCAGCATGGAGACACTCCGTCTCCAACCACCTCTCAGGCAGCAGCCTGCACTCCCAAGTTCTACACGTCACCAGAACATAACCAACCAAC